TATGCCTAGTACAGCCGGGAAAGCGTTGCAGGTTCTAGCAGACGGGCAGGGCAATGGCTCGGACCACGCTGTACGCCACTGGTATTATAGAATTTGTACGACAGTGGAATGCAGGGCAGTAAGCTGTAAGCCTGCACCCGCCACTCGGACAAAGCCTGGAGGACATGCACCGACTCTGTTCATTCTCATAAAAAAAGCTTGAAAAGGGGGGGGATGACTGTTTGGTACCTTAGAGTCTAAAACCACCAGGCACACTACGAAATCCCCAAACCGGGCGACTACCTATTATTGCCTCGATCCGGTTTACAAAGGTGAGTATGCGGAGTTGACGCCCTTTGGCTTGGATCGCTCTGTTCTCTCAAGGGCGTCTCGAAGGAATGGAGTCAAGGACTCGAATCTTGCGAAAGTACACAGGTACTAGTAGGGCACAGGTATGTATGTACAGATCTTATGTACTGTAGGGAGCCACATTCGCTTGGAGGAAGCGGAGCCTTTGCATTGTGGGCTTGAACTTTCTCCGAGTTTCTCGTATCCCAAGACTTGGATCCAGTTCCTAGTGGCTGCCCATTGCCAAGTCAGCCTCAGAGTCATTGTTGTCAACCCAGGGAGATGGACATGGAGTGTCTTGGTGGTGAGAGTGAGACCACCATCAGGGCATCAGCTCTGCCAGTCATACTGAGCCCTGTCTTACAAAAGGCGTAGAGCAGAAAGGCGTGGGGCGGGACAATCATACAGCCGAATCGCTCCGGTCCCAAGCCGGGACCCGCGGATGCCAAGACTGCCGACCACCCCGCGATCTGACGGTTACCCCCGCCGGCTCAGTGAAGTAATAGGATTTGCGGTTGGCATCGTTCATGGATCCGTTCCGATAAGGCTTGATTGGCGGCTCACCGAATCGCTATCTGACGTCCCGAGTACATACACGTGCGCAGAGGTATACATCCTTGATGGACCTCCGTAAGCCACCTCGGACTTGGGGTCTGTCAGTTGACCCCCAGGACCGAATATGATGCCCGGTGTGCAACTCGAACTAATTCCCCTTACGATCCGAGAGAGGTCCGTACCAACTACCAAGATATGTTAATCCAACCGTATAGAGCAGTAAACTGGGAAACATTTAATCTTTTACTTCCAGTGCGAGATATCTGCATTTACTAGGTGGGTAGGTTGGTATCGAGGAGCCACCTTGAAGGTAAGGTAGTATCAGTTTATCCTTATCAGCGTGACCGCCCCTCTTGCTTGCGGAGAACTGGGGTTTGGGATAGCTACATGTATTGTAGTTACATCTGGTCCAATAGTGTCTCAAGATCGGGAATGTGTACCCCATATTCCTTTTCCCACATGTTCCCACAACAGGCATTTCAAGTTGCCTTTACAGACATAGCGCATATGTGACTAGATAGGTAGGCTCCGAAGCCTCAGGCTTGATAGCTCAACATTCAATCCCTTAGTATTGCCAATACCCACGTCGAGACCGAGTTCGGACAGTAAGCCTGGCTAATACTCATTAGGGATACTGTGACGTAAAAGAGAGTGCTTGTTTCTCCAAGGAGGGAAGACCAGGCTGCGCCGCGAAGGATGCTATGTCTTCGTGGTACACACTCGCCCATCTCGGACCGGACGCCTGACACTCCATCATCCATATCAATGTTTCGTTATCGTAGTGGGCCTGGCATTGGATACGGGGCATGTAGAATGCAGGGCATCCGATGTGGTTCTCCAGGGCGAGCTTGTATGAGTATGACTTTGCCGGATAACCCTGGAAGGATCCTATATCCAAGTACTACTATATAGGTACCTATATAGTATATAGCCCAGTAGGATCGAACCATCGACTGACACTCAGTTTGGTGGCTTGGTTACTGGCGGCTCTTTAACCTGGTACTTCTGTGCCAGTCTGTTAATATGGCTCAACTTGCTCTTTCATTGCTCTTACTGAGCGGTGCTACTGCCTTCTCATCTCGTCTGCCTGTCCAACTCCATACCCGCTCAGCGGTAACATCACGCCTCGCCAATGTCCATCTCTCGGTTGAGAGGTCCATTCCTGGCCCCGTCACCGTCACCTATGGGTCTTGTTTGTCTACGACCAAGCAGGACTCTCACCATATTCTAGGAGAAGCAGACGGCGATAGGAAGCATTCAAGTTCGGTACGGCTCGTATGGGTCCTCCCCGAAGACAGCGAGTCCGGTGGCTGCCTCTCGGCTTGGGACTCAGTAGGCACCCTTGTCGGACGGAGCGAGCCCCAGGAACTTCAGCAGCGTCATAAGCGCAGGGCGAGCAAGCGTGCCGGTATGTGCAGACTCTTTGCCAGTGTGCTATACACCATGATAGCTTCCACATGAGACAGCAGTTTAATTAAGTGAAATTACCGTCTACAGATAGCATCCCAATGGACAACTCTACCGGCATCGATGTCCTAGGGCCATGGTTTGAGGGGGTAAGGCTCTTGGAGAACAGGCAGCCAGGTCCCGTGGATGTCAAAGCCGCCAAGGCCAAGGAGATCGCCATTGTGGGAGCGGGCATGTCGGGCCTCATGAGCTATCTCGTCCTGCACCAGGCCGGGATGAAGAACATTAAAATTCTTGAAGCGGGCCAGCGTCTTGGTGGCAGAGTCCACACCGAGTACCTTAGCGGCGGTCCTTTCGACTATTCGTACCAGGAGATGGGCCCGATGCGGTTCCCCTATACCTACATGGATCCAGCAACCAACGAGACGCTCAATATCTCGGACCACAGACTGGTCTTCCAGCTGGCTGAGGAGATGAATCGCCTCAACCGAAACGATAAGAACCTGAGTGTTGACTTCATCCCCTGGATCCAGAGCAATCCGAACGGGCTGGTCTACAGGAACGGCTTCAAGCTCCCCACGGGGCTACCGCCCACCGTTGCCCAAATCCAGGCCGATCCGTCTCTCGGAGGCCCCGTAAAGGTGATGGATGAGTCAACGAGGCAGCTATCGGCCGCCGTGCAGGAGTACATGCCTGGATCCGAGATCTACGCTGAGATTGCTCGCAACACGTTCAAGGCTCACAAAGACTGGATCGGTGGGTAGTATCACTCCAAGCATCGCTCCCTCATGCCTGTCCCGGTGGTAGTACCCGGCCATATCAATTTGAACTGACTCGTGCTTTTGAAACCATAGAAAACGGTCTTAAGGGACTAGGTGGTGACGTTTGGTCCGAGTTTGCTTTCATGGTCAATCACTTAAAGGGCAGCCTCAATGACACGGATGTTATCGGCGGCGGAGATGAGGCATACTGGCACACCGTAAGGCCCATTCTGAGCTGCTTGTTGCATGCAGAAATGCATGACTAACAGGCCGCGTGTTCTGAAATGCAGCTTTACGACGCACTCTACTTCAGTGCCGCCTCTTGGAGAACCATCAACGGGGGTCTCAACCGCCTGCCCCTTTCCTTCCACCCCCTCGTCAACAAAGTCACCCACATGAACCGCAAGATTGAGCGCATTGCGTTCGTCCCAGGCAGGAATAACGGAACCAGCAAAGTCCAGCTACACTGGCGCGACACCTCCCGACGGGGCAACTCCCACCTGCAGAGTTCGGTGCACGACTACGCCCTCATCTCGGCGCCCTTCTCCGTGGTCCGCAGCTGGCGGCTCCCGCCCACCCTCTCGACGACAATGGCCAACGCGATCCAGCACCTCCACTACCAGCAGGCGTGCAAGGTCGCGCTCGAGTACTCGACCCGCTTCTGGGAGCACTACGCCAACCCCATCGTGGGGGGCTGCTCGACCACGTCCGACATACCGGGGATCGGGTCCATCTGCTACCCGAGCTACAACATCAATGGCACGGGCAAAGCCACCATCCTCGCCAGCTACTTCTCGACCGATCCCTGGCCCGTTTCGCTGTCGGAGGAGGACCATGTCAAGTACGTGCTGGATGCCATGACCGAGATTCATGGAGAGAGCACGAGGAAGCTGTATACCGGCAGGTATAACAGGCGCTGTTGGGCGCTGGATCCCCTAGAGGCGGCCGGCTGGGCGTCGCCGACTGTGGGACAGCATCAGCTGTATATCCCGGAGTATTTTAAGACGCATGATGGGGTGAGTTTCTTCCTTTCGCTCTTCAATATGGTTGCCGGGCTTTGTACTGCAGCTAATGCCGTATGACACAGCTTATTTTCATCGGCGAGCACACGAGCTACACTCACGCCTGGATTGCATCCGCCTTGGAGTCAGGGATACGGGGTGCAGTGCAGCTGCTACTTGGTAAGTGTCCTGGAGCATGACAACTTACCTTCTGACGCCCTGAGAGAAGGACTGCTCTAACCTCGCATAGAACTCGGGTTGGTGGATGAGGCCAAGGAGGCCGTGACCAAGTGGATGGCAAGATGGATCGACATTTGAGTGCTTGCGGAATATCGAGGCCGGTCCTTCAGGGGGGGGGGGGGGGGGGGGGGGGGGGGGGGGGGGGAAGCCCAAGGTTTTATCAGCATTACCACATTGCTTAGTATGTATATGATATTGTGCACGAAGGGATCGTGACATTTGTGCTCACCTCATCCATTCGTCCATAACCGGCTTCACACTAGTGCCCGTACACTAAGTCGTTTAGTCTAGTCTCGTGTTAGTTACCGGCCCGACTACTTTGGCGGACCCTCCCGGGGAAGCCTGGAGAAGCGGGTTAGTGCGGTCGGAGTGTGGAGTGTGGAGACAAAATATTTCAGGTTTGACGTGTTTTGCCCTGGCACGAGAAAGAAGATGGTGGTTGCCAATTGCAAAGTTTTGAAACAGGTTGGTTGGGCCTTCCACACTTGCCTGCGTTTATTATGTAGCTGCAAAGCAGCCTTCGGTTCTGTGATCTTGCAATCCTGGAAGTCTAGACCAGCTTTGTGCAGCCGCACCGTGTCGTTCCTTCCTCTTGGCGCCCCGTCCCTTTTCTCTTTCCCTTCTCCTCCCCCGTTGATACTGCGGAGCCAACGTCGCAGTCCTCCAGAAAACTGGTTGCGGAGAAGAGGAGAAGGTGGGTCTTCACTCCGCGCTTTCAATGCAACACTCCGGCGCCATCATCAGGCAAATTGCCGAGCAAACGGCAGCTTGCCCGTCCACATTCACCCGGGCATGGATCCTGCCATAGTAAGCGCACCTATCACGTCCCCAGCACTCTCACGGACCGGGCATCCTCCACTGGATCACCATTCCGCCGTTACACGCCGTATTGATGGTGATTGGCGGATTCAGCCTTCCAAGCTCTGGCAGGGATGGGAACGTGAAGCTTGGAAGCTCCCTGGGAACTGGGGTGCTCTCTCGCAATGTCACCTTATCGTGATGATCCCATGGTCGCGAAGTACCAGCTGCATCATTCAGTCTCGCGTCCAAACGAAATAAATAAAATGGCCGGCCTCCTCGACCTCTTGGGGTGCGAGAGCCCTGCTTCAACCCTTCTCGGTCACAGCCCTTTGCCTACTGGCGCCGTGACTTGATAGTCCTGTCACTGGTCGCTTCTGTAACTCATCCAGCCCTCTACGAATACACATCGTGCCATCCCTGGGGTAAAGACAAAGCAGAACGAGTGGGCAAGATGAAGTTTCCCACCATCTACAATGTCCAGCTGGTGGCCCTCATCGCCACCCTCGGCGGTATGCTGTAAGTGGCCCGCCTCGTTACAGCCATCTCTAAGAATGACCACTGAAGGTCACAATTTTCTGCAGATTTGGCTTTGACATCTCCTCCATGTCCGCCATCGTCGTCACGGATCAGTATATCGAATTCTTTGACAATCCAAGTGGTGCGATCCAGGGCGCAATAGGTTCAGCTCTCGCAGCGGGCTCAGTCGTGGGCTCGGCCGTGGCAGGGCCCCTTTCCGACAAGATTGGCCGCCGCGACTCCATCATGTTTGCCTGCATCTTCTGGCTGATCGGGACGGCGGTCCAGGTCTCGTGCCAAAACACGGGCCAGCTCATCGCGGGACGCGTGCTCAACGGCTTTACCGTCGGCATCACGTCGTCCCAGGTGCCAGTCTACCTCGCCGAGATTGCCAAGGCCGAGAAGCGCGGCTCGCTCGTCATTATCCAGCAGCTCGCCATCGAGTTTGGCATCCTGATCATGTACTTCATCGGCTACGGCTGCGCATCCATCGAAGGGACGGCCTCCTTCCGGACCGCATGGGGCACCCAGTTCATCCCCTGCTTTTTCCTCATTATTGGTCTGCCTTTCCTCCCGCGGTCGCCCAGATGGCTGGCCAAGGTCGGCCGTGATCAGGAAGCCATCCAGACACTGGCAGATATTCAAGCCGGTGGCAACATCGATGACCCGCTAGTCGTCGCCGAATGGGAGGAGATTGTAACCGTGATGCGCGCCGAGAGGGAGGCAGGCAAAGGCTGGCGAAAATTCTTCCTCAACGGCATGTGGAAGCGGACCTTGGCCGGCATGTCGGTCCAAGCATGGCAGGTGAGTCGGTGAACGATGGGCTGGACAAGCGGCATGCACACTGACCAGAGTTTCAGCAACTTGCCGGAGCGAACGTTATCGTGTACTACCTGACATACATCGCGCAAATGGCCGGCCTCACTGGCGATGTTGCCATGGTGACATCAGGAATCCAATATGCCGTCTTCATCATCTTCACAGGAGTCATGTGGTAAGTTGAATCGCCACCGGGGAAAAGGTGTCACGCCTGGGAGCATGACACGATTAACAATTGCTTAGGCTCTTTATTGACAAGACCGGCCGCCGAACTCTCCTCGTCTGGGGTGCCCTCGGCATGGGCTTCTGCCACTTTGTCGTGGGTGGTGTTATGGGAGCCCACCACATCGACGTCCCCGGCGGAGTTGGCGATCCCCCGAACCACAACGTCGTCATCGCTGTCCACTCCGGCGCGCCGGCCAACACCGTCATCACCTTCTCATACCTTTTGATTGTCGTATACGCCTTGACGCTGGCCCCCGTTTGCTGGATCTACGCGGCCGAGGTTTGGTCCTTGGGCACTCGGGCGACGGGCATGTCGCTGGCAGCACTGTCGAACTGGGTCTTCAACTTTGCGCTGGGCATGTTCACGCCTCCTGCGTTTGTGAACATTACATGGAAACTCTTCATCATCTTTGGCGTTCTCTGCGTTGCGGCAGCGGCCTGGTTCTGGGTCCTGTGCCCAGAGACGTGCGGCAAGACGCTCGAGGAGATCGAGGTCATGTTCTCCAACGATGGGCCGTACCCGTGGAAGACCAAGAAGGGCGGCTCGCGCCTGGAGGCCGAGATTGAGGCTGTCAAGGCGCGGAAGACCCAGGGCGAGCCTGAAGTGCTGCCGGTTGAGAAGGTCTAGAGCAAGCGGAGAAGAGAAGAAGATCGTGAGGCAGAGTCACAAACGGGGAAGGGCGTTAGAGACTCAAGATTAGCATAACCGCATACAATCTTGATTGCAGTAAAGCCGTTGATATACCATAGTGCACACCAAGTGACCTAACCCCATCAACTATCCCACCCTCAAACCAATTGCACCACGAAATACCTTGTACCACCGCAGCCACTTTCTTTAACCCTCTAATCTCCAACCCCCTCTTCCACGCGTCACAGCTCGGACGAGCCGATGCCCTAAGGCCAAGAGAGGTACGTCAACCCGGTATACCTCGCCACAGCCTGCTCCGACATATTGGAAATAACCAGAATATAGTTACCACTACCATCAGCCCCCGGCCCGGGGATAACCGTCAGAGTACCATGCTTCTGGACCCAGTCGTAGTTCTTCCCGCCCGCGGCCTCGCGCCGCAGCTCCTCGACGATTTGTGTCTTGCAGTGCTCCGACACGCCGTACACGACGGCCAGCCCGTGCGCCGCGTCGAGCGTCATCTCGGTCCCCTCGGCCAGAAAGGGCCGGCACGCAGGGTCAAACGTCTGCCAGCATGGCGCTGGTGGGTCGTAGCCGAGGGCTAAATCCGGGTCGTAGCGTGGGGAGCAGCGCTTGTTGAGGCGGTGTCCGGGCGTGTTGCCGGCGCCGGTGGTCGCGGTGGCGGTGGTAATAATCGCGAGGGCGAGGGTGATGGTGAGGGTGAGAGTGGTGAGAATGGAGGGCATTTTGGTTTTGGTTTTGGTTTTGGTTTTGGTTTTGGTTTGGGGGATGCGTGTCTCAATGCCAATCCCAATGGGGTGAAGTGGAGTGATATGTTGGATATCTCGGGTTGCTTGTACTGCCTCAACGCTGACTGGAGGTGATGTTGACAGGATAGATGGCCTAGTCGAGTTTAGGTTGGCTTTTCAGTTGTTGCCCGCCTGGACGAGACATAAGCTGAGGGGATACTAAGTATTGTTGTAGACTGGATGAAGGGGACAACTACGCCGCGGCTAAAAATAGAAAACTCAAAGATACTTTAATATGACCTCTCATGACTGCCAGTCAGACTAAGGTAGTACTTAGTGAGTTGTTGACCATTTCCTTCAATTTATGGATCTTAACTCCTAAACTTCTTTTGGTCATCTCCATTAGACAAGCCGCAGCTGCATATCTGCGACATACCCGGAGACAAAGCTTGGCTCCATCCTACGTTGAATGCACGTCGCTGGTTGAATACGAGCTCGTTCAGGATGCCTCCAGTTCACTTACAAGTCCCTTGCGTTCTCGAGCATGGAAATCGAACGACTGTTCCCCTAAAAGAAAGCAATCGGGAGCTCTGATGAATGCAGGTTCACCTTGGAATAGCCATAAGGCACGCCCCAAATCACGAGGCTTGACCACATTCGAAGAGGCTTCAGCCCGTAACGGTGTAGCTGCGGCAACGACGTCAGCCAAAGAGACGATCCGTCTTCTCAGATGCCTCGAAGAGGGGGATGCTCCACCTTTAAAGCCCAGAGTCGTCCCTCAGGATGCCGTCATCGCAGACGGCGGGAACAATGGAGTCGGCCAGCTCAATCCAGGCGCCCGGATTCAAAAATCTGAATACAGATGATGAATCTGATCAATTGCTAGTGTTCGGCATAAGGATGCGGATTCGCCACAGCCAGGGTGCGCTCACTTGTAAGCCTGGCCCAGCGTTTATCAGTTGCAGAAGTTGATATGACTTCGAGCATACTACATACCTTGCAGGCATGATAGGTGCCGTCATGCTCTACCCGATACTTATGCGACAGATGTAGTTTCGCTCTGGCTGGACTGATGTCGCCGTGTCAGCATCTCGGCTCGGAATGGCAGTGATCCTCTGCAGTCAGTCCAGTCCCTTACCACGTCAAGTGCAGAGTCGTTGTCGGGATCAATCACATTGCCCTCGGCGTTTAGCAAAATTGTTTTACGAGTTTGGTGACGATTATGTCTTACAGCGTTGCCCTCACTCACGCCGGCTTCCGGAAATCCGGGGCTGGTCGGTACCGGTGCCGTGGTGGGGTTCGGAGCGGCTGTGGGACTGCTGTGGGACTCGGAGCCGCTGTGGATGCCGGGCCCGCACTGGCCGCTTCCGGTTGTGGGGCTGTGTCAGCGGTCATCGTGCAAAAGCAGATGCCTCTCATGGAACGCAAGAACATCAAGATAATCCTATACGTCTTGTGTCCCTCAATCCTTGAACTCAGTGTCTGCTTCACAGCCAAAACCGAGCATTGAGACTACTCATTCCTACCACAACATGACAAGACGGTGGCTTCATACGCGCTGATGCAGCCGCCCGAGAGGAGCACTTGGCGGCAGTCTGGTGGGTTTGGACTTGTAGTTGAACCTCAGCAAATACGGTTGGTGATAATGCCCAAAGCCGTCATCTGTGCACCCACAACCGGTCAGTAGTGGCTGCATTTGCATGACTCGAGTCCTACCGCGGCCGATTGTCGACTTTTCAAGTGCCACAAAAGTGATAGAACAAGCGTCTTTGTGGTTGCAATTAGCATTCATCAACTTGCCGAGGTCTATTAGTAACATATAAAAGTGCTTGGAGAGACGCTGAAAGGCGGTGGAACGCGAATGTGCAGTGTGACGTTCAAGTTAATGGAACACCTGCGCCGGCTCGACGATACTGAGTGAATGCATTTGGCTCTGATAATGATTAACTCTCAGACATTGGAAAGGTATTGTAATTACCTTATGTTTGATACATACAATACAGTACCTCAGGAGCTCAGGTATCTTACGTTACAGCTGACAGCCCTACGGATACGCCTGGACCCAATGTCATGCAAGGACGTTTTGCCACAGCCACCACCCAAAACAGCCCGCCGATTGCGCGTTCTTGCACGCACCTGCCGACCACAGGAGTCGAACTTATCCTCCTCTCCTCCCAGGTCGCACTTCTGCCGGGGATATGCTCGATTATTCTGGGCAGATCTTGTCAAACCAACTGGTTCGCGCGTCATTTCACTCGCCTTCTGCTCGGCTATGCTTCCATGCAGTTGAGACAGGGATGAAACAAAGCCCGGCGGGTAGCATTGAGTCGGGCATGACAGGAGCTTTGTATTGATGGATCAAAGCATGTGCTTCTTTGACGATGTTTAATAATGCCATAGTTCACTTTCGATCACAATCTTCTGGTTGAAATCTCTTTCACTTGCTTGGTTGCTGCCGTTCTTTAATTGGTGCCAAGTGACCAGTTGTACAGACTTCCTCGCAAAACTCGTAGCTACCGGGAAGCAATGGATAGCAAAACACTTTCTTCCCGCCTTCGTGAGCTGGTCAAGGTAGGTGCGAAATCACATCTCATGCCACTGCTATGCTAACTCGCCGCCTGTTAGTTCCTGGCCACGGTAAAGGGCGATCTCGCCAACGTCACCGGACCTCCTTCCCTCCTGGCCCCGTCCTCCGTGGTCGAGGTAGGCCACTGCTGGGCGCAGCGCCCGTCCGTATTCTCGGCGCCCGCCCGTGAACCCAGCCCCGAGAAACGCAGCCTGCTTGTCCTGCGCTGGTTCCTCATTGCCCTGCGCAGCCAGCTGTACATTGGCGTGCCCGACTCAGCGTCAGCCAGCGCCAGCGGCTCCAAAAAGACGGCCTCGATCCGCAAACCCCTAAACGCCTTTCTAGGCGAGCTTTTCCTCGCCTCGTGGAGCGACGAGGCGACCAAGTCCAAGACGGAGCTTGTCGCAGAACAGGTCTCGCACCACCCGCCCATCACGGCCATGCACGTCGTCGACCGCGCCCACGGCGTCCGCGCCGACGGCTACGCCCGCGTCGAAATGACCTTCAACGGCAACGTCAATATCCGGCAGGTTGGCCACGCCACGCTGCACGTAGACCGCTACGACGAAGACCATTTGATTCCCCTGCCGGACGTAAAGGTCCGCGGCTTCGTGTCCGGCTGCTTGTATCCCGAGATCACCGGGACCTATCACCTTGTGTCGAGCGCCGGGTTCGTGACCGAGCTGAGATTCTGGGGCGAGGGCATGCTCCGTGGGAAAAAGAACTCGTTTGACGGGAGGATCTACAGGCGGGACGATCCCGCCAAGACAAGTATCTACCAGGTTGAGGGTGTTTGGAGCGAGGGGTGGACAGTCAGAGACTCAGTGACTGGGGAGCTGTTGGAAAGTTACAAGGTGGATGCGGCCGAGAACGAGCCCGTGCCGATGGATATCCTTCCTATCGAAGAGCAGGATCCATGGGAATCCCGCAAGGCCTGGCGCAGCGTGCTGCACGGGCTAACGGTTGGCGACATGCGCATGGTGGTGGAGGAGAAGTCCAAGATTGAGCAGGCCCAAAGGCAAATGCGAGCCAGCGAGGCGGCCAGGGGTAAGACCTGGGAGCCCCTGCTGTTCCGATCACAGAGTGGGGAAGCCCACGAGGTTTTCCATCGGCTTTCGAAGGGCATCATGGGGTGGGACTTGCAACAAGAGAAGACAAAGGGGGTGTGGAAGGTGGATGATGCGCGGATGGCCAATCTGCAACGACCGTTTAGAGCTGGACTCACTCCGTTTGGGTATTGACGGCTTGGTACTTTAGTTTTGGGTTATCCTTTTGATCATAGCGAGGCGTTGGTGGTTGTTCTTGTTATGGCAAGACTTAGAGCCGGCCTGAAGCTGGGCTTTGGAATAGAGCTCCTCCCTGATGTGCATCTTTTGGGTATGGCTGCATTAGAGGAAACGGACACCTAGGTGGTTGTGCAAGTACAATGTCTTAGAAAGTGAAGGTGCAGTTTGCGTCACCATTCTTCAGCGGCAGGATCGACCAAGGAAAGACTCGAGGTAGGTAGACCGGGTGTGGCGCGCCTGCTCCTTCTGGTTGAAGACAACTTTTGGCGACTTCCTCCATTCCTTGGGAATCTGCGACAAAAGTCGAAGCTGTTTAGATGGGTAGTCGCCAGACCAAATTTCACACGTAAAAAATTGGCTGCACTAACAGCAGGTACATACGCTGAGGAAGAGATGTTTCTTCGGCCAAGATGGATACAGACATACAGCGACCGTCTCGTGCCCCTTGGCCGTGATACACCACCCCAGAACAAGCGGTAACGGTGACCAAGTGCGTTCGCAAGATGTTAGCTGCTGATCTGAACGGATTTGGGGCAGTCCCGGGGTAACATGCCACAGACACTCCCAAGGAGCGCTGTCTTAGGGATGAGCTGGGTTTCGAGACGAAGCTGGGTTACGAGGCATTTGGGTTGCGGTGGTTGACACGACGCGATGGACATAAACGGATCTCGAATACTGCCAAGGAGCTGGACCAAAGATGCATCTTGATTAACGCTGAACGGGAGTCATCCCTTTCTAGGCATGCTCGCAATAGCAGTAAAGCCGATGTTGGCCAAAAGAATACCATTGGAACGGTGGAATGGTCCATGGTGATGGTGCAAAACGATGTTCAAGTTCCATACTCCCAACAGGTGCTACGAATAACAAACTGAAATCCCTGCCACAGCACAGTACATGGGACATCGGCAAGCTCAGTTGCCACTCGTGGTTCCCAGGACCTCATTAGCTATGGCTCGTCCTGCGGCGCGTCCGGAGAAAATGCACCCGCCCAAAAAGGTGCCCTCAAGCGAACTGTAGCCGTGCACACCGCCTCCTCCAAACCCAGCCGCCTCTCCAGCTGCATACAGACCGGGGAACGGAGTACCGTCAGCGCGCATGACGTTGGAATCGAGGTTGGTTTCGATCCCACCCAATGTCTTGCGAGTCAAGAGGTTCATGTGCACAGCAATCAGCGGGCCGTGTTTGGCCGTGTCGAGAAGGCGGTGCGGGGTCGCAATTCGGCTTCTCTTGTCAGGCCAGTAAGTCCGCGCGCTGTGTATGAGCATCGCCTGTGCGTCTTTTGAGTACGTGTTGTCGAATTGGCCATCTCTCGTTTCCACCACTTCCTTGACCTTGGCGTAATCGAGTTGAGGCCCCCCAATCTTGGCTGCGAGTTCGTTCATGCCCGCCACCAGGTCCTCGAGGTTGTCTCTTACGACAAAGTCGGCGCCGTACTTGACAAAGTTTTGCACTGGCACTGTACCCTTTGGACTGAAGAGGCGTTGCATAATGAATTGCCAGAGGCTCTTGCCCGTAATATCCGGGTTCTGCTCCGAGCCTGAGAGCGCAAACTCGCGAGCGACGATGGTCTGGTCGGCGATGAACCATGTGTAATCGTATCCCGTGCTGCAGATGTACTTGAGTGTGGCGAGCGTGTCACAGCCCGGGAACAGGAACGGAGGCAGACGCTTGCCGGTTGCGTCTAGCCAGAGAGACGAGGGCGCTGGGAGTACCCGGATGCCGTGCCCCGGCCAAATGGGGTTCCAGTTGGCGAGACCCTCGGTATAGTGCCACATCCTGTCACGGTTGATGATGTTGGCGCCGGCGGCCTCTGTGATGTCGATCATGCGGCCGTCGACATGTGCGGGCACGCCAATGACAAAGTTCTTGGGGACTTTTGGGCCCAGGCGGTCAACTGGCCAGTTCGCCTTGACCTTCTCGACGTCGCCGCCGATCCCACCAGATGAGACGAGCACGGCAGATCCGTAGATCTCAAATTCGCCTACCACTGTCCTCGACGACTTGACGCCCCTGGGAGAGTCGTCTGGCTCGAGAACCCGCCCTTTGACGCCGGCAGCACGCCCCGTCTCGTCCACCAGCAGTTTATCCACCATGTGACGGAACTTGAACTCGACGATGCCTTTCTTCTCAGCCTCCTTGACCGGCTCAGCAAAGACGCGCACAACTTCGGGGCCGGTACCCCATGTGATGTGGAATCTTGGAACCGAGTTGCCGTGGCCGTCTGCCCGTCCATCACCGCGCTCCGCCCAACCGACATTCATCAGAAACTTCACCCCGCGAGCCTTGACGTAGCTCTCCATCTCGTCGGTGGCAAAGTTGACGAAGGCTTCAGCCCACTTGCGCGGCCAGTAATCCTCCTTCTCGCGGTCGAAGCGGGCGGACCCGAACCAATCACGCATGGCTAGCTCACGAGAGTCCTTGATGCCCATCTTCCGCTGCTCGGTCGAATTGACGCAGAAGAGGCCACCTAGGGACCAAAAGGCCTGCCCACCAAGGTTGGCCTCATTCTCCTGGTCGAGGAGCAACGTCGGCACGTTCCGCTCGGCGAGTTCGAAGGCGGCCACAAGGCCGGCAAGTCCGGCGCCGACAATAATGACGGGCTTTCGGGAGGTCTGAGATTCGTCTGACGCCATGATTTTCTATGTTTCGGGGATGGTTTCGACAGTAACTAAAAGGCGGCAGAGGATATTTATAGCTTCGTTAAGACGTCGGCGCTCGGGACTGTTTGGTCGCCTTGGCTTTGGATGTCAAATCACCGGCTGCGAACCCAAAACAGTCAGTCAACAAACATGGATGTCAGCCCGGGCGAGGAGCGTGTCCGTCTTCACCTTTCTTGAACGTGCAAATAACAAGTGATTGCTTGATGAAACACAAGTGCTTGGTGCCATTGTGACGAACAAGTGGTAGGATTCCCAGCCACTAGACCCTAAAGTGTGTCTGTTGGGGATCGTTCCTCCTGCCATCCGTGGCATGTTTCCCCGCGGTGGTTCGAGGTTGCCGTGTTTGGAAAGCTTTGTTTTGGGGTCAAATGACCAGGGTTAGGGTCGTATGGATGCCAAGGAGCTGCAGGCCGAGGTTCCCAGGTCGAGCACATGGTCACACCATCACAACATCTCTGCAAGTCTGCCTTCTATCACATAAAAGCAGCAAACGGGATCACGCTGACTCCTTAAGACTACCTACAGCGCGCTCACAAAATGACTCTTCGTCACTTTTGAGATGTCAACATTCGCGAAGCATACAACGTGCCTTGTCCTTCCCCGCCAAGATGCGTCTCCACAAACCTCTTATGTACTACACCATCTCGCCGGACTGTTACTTCCCCTTCGGTTTCTTCCTGCCATGGAAGTGTTCACCTGTTGTTGGACTTGTCACTTACCTTAGGTAAGGTAATGCAGGAAGCTGATCACGTCGTCAATGTCAGATTATATTGCCAGCCAAGTGTCGCCAATTCCCCGTCAAGCCCGCGTTGACATACAGCGAGCCGGTTGAAGGACATGGCCGCAGCATCACATACCTTCTCGTGTCTCTGGAACTTCGACCACGAGCAGCAAAACTCGAGCTGCAAGCAACATACGTCGGTTTCGCCGAGAAGGGCAATTTAAACCAATCTTTCGCCCTTTAGCACGCTACAGTACCTTAAGACTCAGAGTTGGCTACGTGAACCCCAGTGCTCAGAGGATCCAACACCACGATGCTGACCCCCGTTTTTTACGTACCATGGTACCGGTTCCTTGGCATCGAACATCTCACCAGAACAGCTTTCGGTTGTTAATATGGGCCCCGAAGCATCAACGGCTCCGTTGGGTCACACAAAGAGGGGCACAGGAGATCCATACGTACACTATGCTACAGCTTTTCATGGCACAACGCAGTGGGCTTAACACTTGGAACTCGAGCTCAGTTTTTCGACTGAATTGGACAGTTCCTCAAGAGTTGAACTGAGCCGCAGACCGATTTTCTCAGCAGTGGTTTGGGGTACGTCCTAGAAAACGTATGTTTCTCATGTTGGGTGAGGAGCGGCACGGACGCTCGCAGCTTGCCGTCAAGACGGTCTACATGTTACTCCCAAGCACTGAGCAGCTAGGTCCGCGTTTTTAGATCAAGGGGGTGTGGCAGATGCACGGTACAAGTGCATCTGATGTTGCACAGCAGATTAACCCCGGAGTGCCCAGTCTCCTCCTGCCGTTTACAAGATTCGACTGCGGCTTGCAGGCCTTCGAACTCGACCACTTCTAGTTCAAATTTGTCTGCAATCTGATGTCGAATCTAGGCCGATACTTAATTCTGATGACGCTGCATCGCTCTCTGCCGGCTGACAGATCCTTGCAGCTTGAACATCTCACCCGTCCACTATCAAGTCAGGCCGAACCGCCGGGCAAAGTGATATCTTCCTATCCTCCGCAAAATCGACGGGATGAGGGGGGGAGTTGGAGATGGGTGGCCATGGACAACGACCCCCCGGCACTGCAAGGTGCAAACCAGTCCTCCCGTGGCGCGCCGCTCACCTGCAGTAGATCCCCCAGGAAACCGTTGAATGCACCCTGGCATCTATGGAGCTTGCGATGTCTTCATTCCTCACTGGCTGCTTCGTGGTAAGCTTGTGGCGGGAAAGGGGGCCAGATTTGTTCCCCTCTGCAACCCCCTGATGCCGGGATTCATGGGATGGAATCTGGTTCCATTGGCACGGTTTCATTACTGGTTGGGATTCGCACCCTTCAGATTTTAATACCTACCTATATATCTCGTCCTTGCCCATTGAATTCCATCAACCTCGGGCTTCACCGCAAACAATGTGGCCTATGTAGTTAGCCGCCATGCTCTAACCAAGCACCCGGGCCGCAGTGCATCATCGACTTGCTCACTTGTTCTTCAGTGTTTACGAGCCGAGGGCGGGGATATCGCAGTCCCAAGTCGCCCTACCTAGCTGACCAGACTCCTTACTCCCACAGCCAATATGGCCATTAGACACGACGTTCACAGGTTAGAAGACGACGACTCCCAAGTCCTGGAGGACCATTGTTGACAAAAGGCATTAGCCATGCCCACGAAGAAGACGTGCCCGGGACTGTCAACCTCCAGGCCCGGGAAGGCGAGGAAACACATTACGGACAAGCGCTGTTCCCGGTTCCTTCGGCAGACCCCAACGACCCGCTGCAATGGTCCAAGTTCAAGAAGCATATGATCATGTTCTGCTGCTGCGCGTACTCGTTCTTGGGCGTCTCATCTCTTCTCGGACCTTCAACGTACATCGGGCTCTGGTCTGCCGAGTTCGGCGTCGATCCGAACACGGCTGCCGGCCTGGTGAACTACCCCAATCTGGTTTTCGGGTTTGGGAGCCTCATCCTGGTGCCGCTGTACCGCAAATATGGACGGCGCCCGGTCATGGTTTTCTCCTTGCTGATATACACGGCCGGTATCATCGGGGCATCGCAGGCCAGGACTTACTCGGCACTGATGGGCGCCCGAATCGTACACGGCTTTGCTTCGGGGGTATGTGAGGCGCTGCCGGTTCAGTTGGTCAATGATATCTTCTTCCTCCACGAGCGCGGCAAGAAGCTCGGCTGGTACACGGTGGCGCTCTGCTTGGGGGCTACGGGACCCTTGTTCTCGGGGTTCATGCTCGCCGGTGGATACTCATGGGTGCTGTTCTTTTATGTCCAGTTTGCCTTTTCTGGAGCCCTCGTCATCCTCGCCTTCTTCTTCGTCGAGGAGTCGATGTACTTCCGTAGGTCCAACCCTCCTGCTTCCTCCAGCAGTGGTACCGAGGTCGACCCTGCAACGAAACCCAAAGCCGCCGAGATCGAGGAACACGAACTGGCCTCCTCCTCTTCTGGCTACCCTCCGCGCAAGACCTTCCTCCAGCAGCTCGCCCTCTGGGGCCCAGTCGACCACTCATGCGCCTTCTTCTCCATGCCGCTGCGCGCTTTCACATATCTCCTCGTCCCGTCGACCCTGTGGGTTGTCACCACGTACGGCATCTACATCGGCCTCTGCGGCTTCTCATTCAACTTTGTCTTCCCGCTCAAGATCGTCGCGCCGCCGTACAGCTGGTCGCAGACCAACGCCGGCCTGCACGCCATCAGCACCTTTGTCGGGTTCGGGCTGGCGGTGCCGCTGGTGCCGGCGAGCGACATCTGGGCGGCGCGGCTGACGAAGCGCAACGGAGGTATCCGGGAGGCCGAGATGCGCTTGGGGGTGCTGCTGCCGGCCATCCTGCTCGCGCCGGCGGGGCAGATCCTGTTCGGCATGGCGGCGGAGCGGGACCTGCACTGGATGGCCTACTTCGCGGCTGTTGCCATGACGCAGTGGGCGGGCTACTTCTTCTTCACGTTGACACTGGCCTACGCCGTCGACTCGTACAACGCCAACCTGTCCGAGATGCTCATCATCATGAACCTAGGCAAGCAGGCCATCAGCTTCGGCTTCAGCGGCGAGCTCCTCAACTGGATCTCCCATCACGGGTACGCCACCATCATCGTCGGCGCGTTTGTGCCCATCCTGGCGGCGAACAATCTCATGACGTTTATCTTTATGATTTGGGGCAAACGCATCAGGATTGCAACGTCCAAGTCGTGGCTGGCAAAGTTTCATGCAAAGACTGTCGTGGTTGGGGAAGGGCATTGACCTGGTCGTAGTGCGATGGGCTGCATGATCTGTTCTTGTTTAGCTGCTCCCAAAGGGGTTCCTCAGTACGACTGAACTTGACCCAGGAGGAGCGCTTGGTATCATCATGAGATTGACGAAGAACGATGAAATGCTCAAATTATAACGGGATATATGGGTTTGACATGATACAGTGAAGGTACACCGTGTTGCATACATAATTGTACAGATCAGGATCAAAAGGATCAGGATCTGCCCGCGCGACTTACCTCCGCGTCGATCCAAATCCTTCTGCACAAGATCGATCTGGATCCTCCTGCATAGGATCGATAGCGTTATGCAAGGGCCATGATCCCCCATCCAACAACAAGGGCAGCGAGCAGGGCCCTACCTGTCCCCCGCACGGCTGCTGCGCCGCTCACCGGCCCATCTGCCGTTGTCGTGCCGCAGATCCCCGTGTCCTTTAGCGCCGCAGCCGGAACATACACCTTTGGCTCGCCCTTCCCCATGTACATGGTCAGAGTGCCCACGCCGTTGGCCGTGCTGGTTTTGCAACTCAGGACCTCGACAACATTTTGATTGGGCTGGAAGCCGCCGACCGTCATTTCGTAGCTGTCTCCGCTGCTGCTCTTGTTTGTGACGCAAAACACAATTTGGGTGCCGTCGGGACCCTTCCTGAGACAGAGATGGTTGACATCGGTGTGCAGAGTCTCGGCAGGCGTCGAGATGTACTCAGAAGAGAGTTTGATGGCGTTGTTTCGAAGCTTGTTCAGCGTCGATGTCAGCACGTAGAGCGGGGCCGACTTGTTGTAGCCCGAGCTCCAGAGGGGCTCTCGGTTGAAAGGAGTGCTGTTGCCCTTGAAGTGCTGTTCTTGGCCCTGGTAGACTGCGCAAGGGGAAAAGCGTCAGCATCTGCACCATGGGCAACTGCGATGGAGCTTGAGAGCGGCGAACTTACCCGTGGGAATGCCGTCGGTGAGGAGAATATAAGTCATGGCATTCTTGGCAAGGGCGAGATCTTCGGTGCGACTCGCAAATCGAGGCATGTCGTGGTTCTCAATGAAGCTTCCTAGGGCGAGCGTGTCGTTGCAGCCGGTTGCAGCTTCGTCCCGTATTCTGGTGACATTCTCAAAGGTGCCGCCATTGAAAGCCTCCAACAAGGGGTAGTACTCCAGGTAGTTTGGCATACCCGGGAGAAGCCCAAGTGTCTGGTACCGGCACATGTCTTGGGTCAGGCCTGTCAACACCTCGCCCAGAGCAAACACGCCAGAAGCCTCAACAAACTTGGGGAGGAATTCGTCGTTGACGTGCTTGGCGGCATCGATACGGATACCGTCGATCGAGTAGTTGGCGACGAGGCCCTTGACCCAGCTGTTCAACTCATCTGAAACCGCGTCCGACTCTGTGTTTAGATCGGCGAGGGCGACACCGTATGGATAGAACCAGCAATTCTGGTAGTTTTCGGGATCTTCCCAGTCGGTCACGTTGCAGTAGGGATGGAAGTACTTTTCGTCGTTGAACGGGTTGAACTTGGAGTAGTCGAGCTTCGGGGGGACAACGTTGTCGAAAGCCTGGGCCATGTTGTTGACCACGACATCCAGCATCAACAGCATGTCGCGCTTGTGCACCTCGGCCACAAGGTCTTCGAAGTCCTGCTCGGTGCCGAAATGCTCGTTCAGGGCGTAGTTGTCCTGGGACCAATAACCATGATAGGCATCGCCCACGGACGTGTGTTCCTCGATATTCTTGACAACAGGGCTGATCTGGATGGCGGTGAAGCCCATATCTGCACCGCTTCGGTCAGCAAAACCGCCTGATGACGGGCCCGAAGGCGAGAGCGCAGGCAGAAGAAGACGACGGGGGAAGTAGTAGTCGCTTACCCTGGATGTAGTCCAGTTTGTTCATGAGCCCCTTCCATGTGCCGCCGCAGAACTGATGCACGACGCATTCCTCCGTCGTGGACCCGTCTGTAAGTGCAAAACGGTCAATCATGACTTGGTAGATGGATCGGGACTTCCATTCAGTGATGTTAGCGGCTGAGGCCAGCCCCGAAAGGGCCAGCGCCGCTGCGGCCGTGACCGAGGCCCGCATGATGGCTCCAGAAATGTCGACGCCTCACGTCTCACGACCCTTCAAGAGTTCTTTTTTTTTCCCTCGCGTCCAAGCCCTTGGGTGATGCACAACAGAACACCAACAGATACGCCAGCGTTCCAGACAATACTGGTAGGCAAGGCAGTCTCGGAAGCTTCGGGCTTGGTTTTTTGTTCCTTCGTTCAGCGAGTGACTCGGGTCGGATATCCACCTCAACTAGAATATCTCTTCACTCTCCCTTCCTTAGGAAGTCTGCATTAAACGGAAGTAATAAAAGAGAGTTGATTAAGAGAAGAGTTAAAGTAAAACGAGTGTAACACAGAGCCCAGGAGAACTCTGTCGACAAAGGAAGGAGCGACGGGAGGTAGTGTACATACAGAGGATATGGATCGACGCCGTTGAACTGGCAGAGACGCTGCAAGAAACAGGAAATGGCCCGGGTGAAGCAACCGGGCCTCCCTACGGATACCCGAGGTAACCCCTTCAAACCCATTTTCGGGGAGATTCTCGGGGAGGGAAGACCTGGCGAGCACCAGTCATGCTGCCATGGCACTGGGGATGCGAAATTATGCCCAGTTCGTATCAATGTACTGTAATTATTAGTGTAGTGTACGCTACAGTCTCTGGACGTCTCCTGGTCGTGGAGATCTTTGTTAGCGTTAGAAACCTGGCTTCTCCCGAGTCGTGTTGGTGACACGCCGAGAGCTCCGGTTTGTTGAAAGTGTGAAGCGTGCCAAGGTGGGAAGGCAGGGATCTGGGTAACAGTTCAGGGGAACCTAAGTCGTGTGTTGCTTTTACTCCCCCCCTGCCCGCGATTTAACTGGCACTGCAAAAACGGTTTTGGCCTTTCGAAGCGAGGAAAACATCAACAACTGGCTGTATTAAATGCCTTGATCTTCAGAGACTACTTGGAACTAGATGGTGAAATACCTAGCAATTGAAAAGCTATTCAGCACATATTATAGGGTCTAATTTGTAGCGATGTTGAGTGTGTTGTTGATGCTTTCCTGGATTAGGTATAAGCGGTTTTGCAGTGCCAATTAAATTGCGGGCGGGGAGACTCCGTACCGATAGCTGCACCAATGCAATGGCTTACCGAGGAGCTGCGAGTTGCATTCCGCAGGGCACCGCTGCAAGCGCATCCACTATTCAAAGTGGACCCGGCAATGGAAAAGGCTGGAAGGCCAATGCGACATTCCACTGGACAACCTTGGAACCTGCGAAAAAAAAAGTTGTCCACACACGTCTCAGACTCACGCACTGGAAAACCTGCTTCCATAAAAAGTTCCCAAGTCCTGAACTCGATAGTGCTCGACAAGTTAAGTCACAGAGTGAGGGTAACGCTAATTAGAGAAAGGGGAAATAATTTGCCTGCGGAATGTATCTCGATTTGTCGGCACGCGACGACATACAGCAAACGCGTCCTACGCAGCCTGGAGAACTTTTCGACTTCCGTCCAACTTCCGCCAGATCAACAAGCGAGCGGAAGCGAGCGGGTTGACCCTCTTTATCTCCAAGATGCGACTCACAATCAGCCTCCTCAGCTTTGCAGAAAGTCTCGTATCAGACGAGCGCCACAACCAGGGGGTCCTGGCACCCGCTCGCGATTATTGAGGGTGGAGTTCGATATGGCGAAAAAAGGAGAATGAATCTCCACATGGGCGTGCAGGTTTTGCATAAGATTTGTCCGAGCCAGACCTGGGCACGACACCTCTGCTGGACAGCTGGACAGCCCAAAGTGTGATGCCTCTTGCGTGCTGCTTGTGCTCCTCGGTGATGAACCAAGCGCTGGAAGGCAGTCAACTTGCGCTAGCATGCTATTTGACAGAGGCAGTTGCTAACTCAGAGTCAGTGTCATGGTCACATCAGCCGCACAAAACTCCCGATGACTTACGTTCCACTCTTTGTACTCTCCAAGCATCAACGAGGGTGATTTTCTCCCGTACGGAGTGGGGGCTGCCCCAGAGGAGGTGGAAACACATCATTGGTGCGCAACGTCTTGACTTGATGGAGCAACTGACCTGACTCCACCTCTGAACGCTCAGTTCGTATCTATGTACGGAGTACTCTCCCGGTGGATAGCCAAGCCGATGGCGATGGCCAGCTGCGAGTCCCTGCGACCCAATCGGTCGTGGCCGAAAAACGCCAGTCCATGCATCCCCCCTGATATGGAATCTTTGCTGAGCGCCTGAGGCCTTGTGGCCGTGCCGTGGGGGCGTGTAGACAGATCTGGGGCCGCCTTCGATGCTTGCTTTCGGACTTGGAACTGCGTCTCTTTCCTTTCAACACCATCTGACCATAGTCTCTCGCTGCCTTGCTTCTGTTTTTGAAGCTTTGTCTTTCGTTATTTGCCTTCTTGTCTCTCTGTTCCTGTCTGGTTTCGCTCCCATGAGAGGTCCGCGGCGGTGACGATGGTTTATCTCTCATCTGCTGGACGGCCTCTTCTCGCAGCGCTCTGTGCGGCCACATGGACAGCCGTCTACGGCCTCAGTTTTAATTCTACCTTGGCCGACTGGAACATCAATACCAACCGGACGGCCAAGACACCCCTCGATTACTGGGGTAGTCGGCCAGATGGCTTCACGTATGCCCAGTCTCCTCCGAACTGGAGAGTACCTTTCTATACACTCTTTTTGGACCGTTTCGTCAATGGGGACCCGGAGAATGACAACATCAATGGCACCCTTTTCGAGACGGATATGATGAGCACCCAGCTCCGCTTTGGCGGCGACGTGCAGGGCCTCAGGGACTCGTTGGATTATATTGCCGGGATGGGCATCAAGGTACAGCGCTCTCCTCGTCGCCTAGCACCTGGACATGTTATCCTAATAGGACAGTAGGGTATCTATATCGCTGGATCTCCGTTCATGAACCTTCCGTGGGGAGCCGATTCGTACTCGGTAGGTCGAGAAAACCCCTTGCTCAACTGTTTGACGTGCTGACACGCATGCCCAGCCGGTGGATCTTACTCTTCTTGATCAGCATTTTGGCACTGTCAAACTCTGGCAGGAGGCCATCGATGAGATACATGCCCGCGGCATGTGGGTTGTCATGGACAACACCATGGCCACGTAAGGACGAGCAGTCGTGAACATGTGGTTGAGATCTGACATTTTTATTGTACAGGATGAGTGACTTGATTGGCTTCAAGGGTTACCTCAACGAAAGCACGCCGTTTCGCACCGAAGAGCACGAGGTCCTTTGGAAGTCATCAAGACGCTACCTCGACTTCGACATCGGTAACGAGTACAACGAGACTTGCGACTATCCCCAATTCTGGGACGAGAAGGGAGAACGCATCAACCCGGAGGGCCTCAAGGGCTGCTACAACAGTGATTTCGACCAGTATGGCGACATTGAGGCCTTCGGTGTCTTCCCTGACTGGCAGCGCCAGCTGGCCAAGTTTGCTTCGGTGCAGGATCGACTCCGCGATTGGTTGCCCTCGGTGGCTGCGCGCCTCGAGCACTTCTCTTGCATGGCCATAGCCACCTTGGACATTGATGGCTTCCGGATCGACAAGGCTGTTCAGGTTACGGTTGATGCGCAAGCTTCTTTCAGTTCAGCAATGCGAAAATGCGCCTCCAATCTCGGCAAGAACAACTTCGCCGTGTTCGGTGAAATCACGAGCGGCAACGGTCTTGGATCCATCTATCTTGGACGGGGACGCGAACCTCACATGGCGGATAACTTCGAATTCAACCTAACAAAAGCAATGACCCTCAAGCCGGAGTCGGCCGACACGTCCCAGTGGTTCATTCGCGAGCCGGCCAACAGCGCGCTTGATGGTGGTGCCTTCCACTACTCGATCTACCGTTTCATGACGCGGTTTCTGGGCCTTAGCGGGAATCTGGAAGCTGGATATGACCTGCCGCGTGATTGGGTCGACACATGGCATACAATGGTTCTCACCAACGATTTCTACAATGCTAACACTAACAAGTTCGACCCCCGTCATCTGTACGGCGTAACCAACCAAGATGTCTTTCGCTGGCCCGCCATCAAGCTCGGTGTTGAGCGCATGCTTCTTGGCTACTTCATCATCACGCTGTTACTGCCCGGGGCTCCTCTAGTGTACTACGGCGAAGAACAGGCTCTGTATGCCTTGGATGGCACAGCGTCCAATTATGTCTATGGTCGTCAAGCCTTTGCGCCTTCCCCAGCTTGGAAGACACACGGCTGCTTTGGCCTCACGGTTGGCCAATACATCGGCTGGCCTGTTGAGTCGGGACGGACTGCCTGTGAAGACGAGTCTGTCGGTTGGGATCACCGGGATCCCTCGGCCCCTCTGCGCAATATTTTCCGTCATATGTTCGCCCTGCGGGACGAGCTGCCGGTGCTTGAGCACGGCTGGCGGGTAGAGAAGCTGGCCAACAAAACCGAACATATTCCGCTCAACGGCAGCTCGGTCGAGACGGAATTCGGGATCTGGAGCGTTGCCCGCGATTTTTTCCCTGGCGTGCAGGACGAGACGGATACTCCAGTATGGCTCGTCTACCACAACCGAGACAGCAGTACAACGTACAAGTTCGATTGCAACAATGCCTCCGATGCATTCTTTGCGCCCTTTGCTGCTGGTACCGAGGTTAAGGATTTGTTCAGCGACGCCGAGCCGATCAAGCTTGAAGCTTCCACGAAACCCGACAATTACACTGGTGGTAAGAGTGCTGGCTGTCTTCCTAGCATCACCCTGGAGCCGTTCGGATTCCGTGCCTTCGTGCCAACGAAGAGCTGGGTAAAGCCAGCTCCCATGATCACCAAGTTCGAGCCAGGCCATGATTGGCCCGTGGACTCGACGAACGCCGGTGGCAAGATCGATGTTGGCATCGAATTTAATGTTCCGATGGATTGCGACTCAGTCACAGACGCCCTGTCGGTCGTGGTTATCATGGATGGTGTGAGCAACGGCACGCAAGTCGAGTTCACCAAGCCCAGCTGCGCCGACTTCAAGCCCACGAACAATATCACATACACCGGGGCGATCCAATCAGCCTGGAAACTGACCACCACCTTGCAGAATGTCCCGGACGGAATCGTGAAGCTTACGGTCGGTAACGCGCAGTCCGCCGACAAAATTTGGACAAACGCAACCGACCATTTCCTAATCCGCTTCGGCAAGCCAAACAACCCGGTCGTTTTCCCCACCAGGGCCAACTACTCACGCAGCCTTCTCGTCCTAGACGGCGATTCCATGTACGCCCAACACAGCGCTCCAGGGGCAACGCAATGGCGGTACAGCACCAACTGGGGATCTAGTTGGAGCGATTGGGCCGCTTATGACGGGTCAAACACCAGGTCAAGGATTGACGTGCTGCATTGGGAGGGCACATCGCTCCAGGAATGGACCGGAAAGCATCTGATGGTACAGTACTACAGCAAGCCTTTGGGTTCTTCGGCCTTTATCCAGCACTCCGACAGCAGCGATGTCCCGTTTGAACGCGCATTCCCCCATATAAAAATCCATGGCCCGTACAACAAGTGGGGTTACGATGCCGGACTGCCCGGATCGATGGATCTCGTACACCACCACACTTGGAATCTCCATTTCATGTATGAATGGCCGGCGAATTTCCAACTCAATGTCTGGGGCATCAATCCCGACGGCCAGCCGGACATCAGCTTTATTTATGGAGATATTGACTCCGACCACATCGTGGATCGCCTTCCGCCGAGCAGTTTGGCCAAAAACGTCATAAACATCACAGAACCGCCGCCAATGCCAGCCCTCGCGTTCAAGCTCGTCTTCAACGATGCTACTTGGAGATTTGACTATTATCCGGTTGGGCACATGGGACTTCAGATTCTGCTGTTTATCCTTCTCGCCATTCTGCCTGTCTTGTTTGCGGTGTTGGCAGGGTGGGTTTACGTGCGCAGTTTTTACCAGGTCAAGATCAACAAGTCTGGGTTCAGCAGCAAAGGATGGGTGCCCCTCAAGCTTGGGAACCTTTCGAAGCTCGATTTGAAGTCGTCTTTTGGGAAAAGCGTCGAGATGAGGGCCATCTCCCCAACGCCGCCTCCTAGCACCGCCCTATCCCCGGCTGGTGGAGCCGCAACTGCGGATGGAAAGCGACGAACGGTGCTCATCGCCACCATGGAGTACAACATCGACGACTTTGGCATCAAAATCAAGATTGGTGGCCTGGGTGTCATGGCCCAGTTAATGGGTTCTGCCCTCTCTCATGTCAACCTGATTTGGGTTATCCCCGTAGTTGGCGATGTCGAATATCCTTTCGAGCGCATGCAGCCTGCGGAGCCAATGTTCGTCAAGGTGATGGGCCAGCCGTACGAGATTGAGGTCCACTACTATACCTCCAAGAATATCACGTACGTCCTGCTTGATGCTCCGATCTTCCGGAAACAGACCAAGAAAGACCCGTACATCGCCCGCATGGATGACATCGAGAGCGCCATCCTGTATGCTGCCTGGAACAGCTGCATTGCCGAGACAATCCGTCGGTTCCCAGTCGACATTTACCACATCAATGATTACCATGGCGCTGCTGCCCCGCTCTACCTACTGCCGCAAACAATACCCTGCTGCCTTTCTCTCCACAATGCCGAGTTCCAGGGGCTGTGGCCTATGAGGACGCCGGAGGAGCAGAAGGAGGTTTGCGAGGTGTTTAATCTGCCTCCAGATGTCGTCAAAGATTACGTCCAGTACGGTTCTGTGTTCAATCTTCTTCACGCCGGTGCGAGCTATCTGCGTCGTCACCAACGTGGGTTCGGAGCCGTCGGCGTGTCTAGAAAGTATGGTGACCGCTCGCTGGCCCGGTACCCGATTTTCTGGAGTTTGAAGAACATCGGCCAGCTCCCCAACCCTGACCCATCCGATACAGCGGAGTGGAACCCCAATGAGGATGTCTCCAAGCAGTCCAAAGGCATTGAAGTGGACCAAAGCTTCGAAGAAAAAAGAGCCGATCTTCGACGTCAAGCACAAGAGTGGGCTGGTCTGGAAGTGGACCCTACGGCAGAACTATTCGTTTTCGTCGGCCGCTGGAGCTTACAAAAGGGCGTGGACCTCATTGCCGACATCTTCCCCAGTATTCTGGAGAAGTATCCCAAGACACAACTTATTTGCATTGGCCCTGTGATTGATCTCTACGGGCGGTTCGCGGCCCTGAAGCTTCAGAAGCTGATGGAGAAGTATCCGAAGAGAGTCTTCAGCAAGCCCGAATTCACGCAGCTCCCTCCGTACATCTTCAGCGGGGCCGAGTTTGCCCTCATTCCGTCGCGTGATGAGCCGTTTGGTTTGGTTGCGGTTGAGTTCGGACGCAAGGGAGCCCTCGGCGTGGGAGCGCGCGTCGGCGGTCTGGGCCAAATGCCGGGTTTCTGGTACACAGTCGAGTCGATGACACCGTCTCATCTGTTGCAGCAGTTCAAGCAAGCAATTATCTCGGCGCTCGAATGCAAGTATGTTTACCCCCTCCACCCTTCTTGTTGATCAGTGCTAAATTGACGCGCACACAGGCCATCGAAACGAGCGCTCATGCGTGCTTGGAGTGCGAAGCAACGCTTCCCCGTTGCACAGTGGATCAAACAACTGGATGAGCTCTATAGCGAGTCTATCCGCATTCATAATAAAGAAGCCAAGAAGAAGAAGCTCGAATCGCTCAGTCCTGGGCCCAGCCCGAACCCAACGCGCCCATCTTCCCGATGCAGCACGGCCACGTACGTCGATCCGACGGCCCACGCTCTTAGCCCCGGGCCCGAGGCAAACCTGATTCCGCCGTCCCCTGTGACCACCCCTACTCTAAGGAGCCTCATGACGCCTGATTTGCCTACTCCATCGGCTCCTTGGCTTGGAGGGAGGTCTCACTCGCCTCGGGCTTCGGTAGCGAGCTCCAACGGGGGCGGTTTCTACGCAAACGCGTCGGCACGGGAAAGTACCGTCAGCGTTGATAGCTTTGCCATGAGAGCCCAACGGGACGGCATGCCTTCGCCCGGACTGACTCCTGACTTCGGGCTCGACGTCCCTCGCAATGCACTCATGCCGAATCACCGCAACAGCAGTTTACTCAGCCTTCCCGATGTTGTTGGCGACCGACATGACCTGAAGTTGCAGCAGGTCGACCAATTCTTTAACGATTCCAGTGGGGAATACTATGCCGAGTTTGAGGAGATGCTCAGTGACCTAAGCGCAGATAACTCGGCCAGCGATTTGTGCATCGAAACGTTCCTGAAGAAGAGTGAGAAGGACTGGTTCGCCAGATATAGAGACGCAAAACTTGGTCGGCACAGAGAATCCCGACTTATTAGTCCGGCGAGCAGCCGTCCGAGCAGCCGTCCGGCATCTCGAAACGGCCAGGGACGGGATGCATCCGTGGCCAGCCGCGGGCGTCAACGCCACAGGAGCATTACTCCAAGCAGCCTGTCCCGTTCTGTATTCGACATGTCGCCTTCGGACGACGCCGCTGTAGACGACGAGTTCTTGCTGGGCGACGGATACCAAGCGCCCACGGGCTTGAAGAAGTAAGGAAGATGACTTCCCTGTGCAAGTTCTATTCTCTTATGTTGACGCTCTCCCCTTAGGTTCTTGTCTCTCCGCATCGGAGACTGGCCGATCTACTCGTTCCTGCTCGCCCTCAGCCAAATCATCTCAGTCAGCTCCTATCAGATTGTGCTCCTGACAGGCGACACAAACCAGACTCCACAGAAGTTGTACATTGTCGCGGCCACATATATCGCGACTTCGCTTCTATGGTGGGGGATGGAGCGGAACCTCAAATCCGTCTACGCGCTGTCGGCTCCGTGGTTTTTCTTTGGCCTTGCGTTCCTTCTAATTGGGATTGCGCCATTTATTCCCGACTGGCGCGTGGCCAACGGCGTCCAGGACACAGCAACCTGCCTCTACGCCGCTGGCGCGAGCAGTGGCGCTCTGTCCTTTGCCTTGAACTTTGGTGATGAAGGTAAGGAACATCCTAACCCCGGGCCCTCTGCGGACATCTGAACTGGAAGCGATGAATGCTGACCAGCCCAACAGGAGGCGCACCTACGAAGCAATGGATTACACGGGCACTGGTGGTTTCTGGATTTGCGCAGGTCTACAGCATTGGCCTATGGTATTGGGGTTCGCTAATGGCCAACGTCGACCCAACTGCTACAGTGTTCGTTGGGACGTCCAATGTTCCCCAGGTCATCGTCATTGGCGTCCCTGTTGCACTGGTTTTCTGGGCGATCGGCATCGTGCTCTACCTTGGATTGCCAGACTTCTACCGGCAGTCGCCCGCCGTTATCCCCGGTTTTTACGTCTCCCTGTATCGCCGCAAGGTGATCCCCTGGTTCTTCGTCATGGTCATCATCCAGAACTATTGGTTGTCGGCTCCCTATGGACGCAGCTGGCAATTCCTCTTCACCACGCAGCACGTCCCGGGCTGGGGAATCGTCCTGCTGGCCCTGGGCTTCTACGTCGGCTTGTGGGCCGTTGTGCTGTACGGATTTTCGTACTTTTCGGACGAGCACACGTGGTTGCTTCCAATCTTTGCCATCGGCCTCTGCGCGCCTCGTTGGGCGCAGGAGTTTTGGGGCACCAGCGGCATCGGCTGGTACCTGCCGTGGGCGGGAGGTCCGGTTGGGTCAGCCATCTTGTCGCGCTGTCTCTGGCTGTGGCTGGGCCTTTTGGACAACATCCAGGGGGTGGGCCTCGGCATGCTCCTGCTGGCGACGCTCACTAGGCAGCACGTGCTGACCGTCTTGATTTGGGCGCAGATCGTCGGCAGCGTCTTCACCATGCTGGCGCGCGCAACGAGCCCCAACGCTCTCTCGCCCAACACAACCTTCCCCGACTTCTCCCAGGGCGTCATGCCCGGCGCGGCTAGCCCGTATTTCTGGGTCTGTCTGCTGTTCCAGTTGATTATTCCGCTTGGCTTCTTCAAGTTCTTCCGCAAGGAGCAGGTCGCAAAACCATAGATGGTTGGAGTAAAGTTTTGGGGGTTTCTTTTGAAGTACTTATGACGCACAATCGGATTCATGTTTGGCGTATGTGAGATTGGGTGGTTTCATGTCGTGGGCAGTCAAAATGTAAGGGAGTTTATGCGTGATACCTATGGACTCGAACGCCCACACCAATAGATATATAGTATTCTCTAATGCACCATCTTCTTTCGAGGCAAACGGGCGAGTGCCCCCAGGCCTTGAATCGCTGATATTCTTGCGCGGGATTACCCGTACCCTGGTTCAGCGTCTGTCATCACATCTGTCCACTTGGCATGCAGTCTCCTTCCATATCCAGGGTCAATGGGGCTCTGGCACCACCCAGCTTCACCATGTGCGGTGGCAATGCATAGGGCTAGCGACGGAACTGACCATTTCATGCCATTTTTGGGTTTGGGTGATTTGGCAAGTATTAAGTGGCGATACCCAAGGCGGTTCCTCCGAGGCAATTAAAACTGTCATTTACCCGGCAGCTCGAGAACCCTCTACCAAGGGACCCGCGGTGCAAGGATCACTACCCGGGTGGGTTTATATGCTCTCTGATGCTAAGATGCTAATTACCAAGCCGATGTGATGCTAATCATGGTCTTAATGCCAGGTCCTATTCCCGCCAACATGGTTAAGTAGACACCAAAATAGAAGCCAAGGGGCTGGACCCCATCTCTGTTTGCCACCGTGGTCTAGTACATGTATGTACTTGAGGAGCGGTGAACCGCGAGATCTTTCGCTGACAACTAGGATCCATTGAGGCTGGACGTCTGTAAGCTTGCCCGTGATGCGTATGGCTCTTTCTCGTTGAGTCCGCTCGAGCTCCAAAATGCGGATCCAGAACGCGCTGCTCGTCGGCATCACGGGCTTCTGTCACTTTGGACCGGGCCCGGCTTCCGCACGTGGGCTGGAGAAATCAAGGGGCACGCAGCACTCTTTCATACTCCATGAGAGGCACGACCAGGGCCACCTTGAGGGTTGGGTTAAACGCGGAAATGCAGACTCTGACTCTATGTTACCCATGCGGATCGGGCTAAGACAGTCTAACTTGGAGGCTGGTCATGATCTGCTAATGGATATGTAAGTCTGCCACTCACTGCCCTTGTTGAATCGACCAGTCTCACTAACACCCTGCCTAGATCGAACCCCCAATCTCCAAACTATGGGAAACACCTCTCCCGGGATGAGGTTATCGAGTTCTTTGCGCCACAGAACCACTCTGTGGAACAGGTCAAACGCTGGTTGCTGTCAGCAGGAATTCATGAGGGGAGACTCTCACAGTCAGAAAACAAGCAGGTGAGCTGGGGTTAGGACACGGATTATAGCGAAGAAGCAGGAAACAACTGAAAGGAGATCTAAGTGACTAACACGCTACGTCGACGGAGCACCGGGGCAGTGGATTCAGTTTGACGCACCGGTAAAGGAGGTCGAGGGGTTACTCCTTACAAAATACCACGTCTTCGAGCACCTCGAGACAGGGGTCCAAAACGTCGCCTGTTCAGAGTCAGTTGAGCGATCCGAACTACATCCAGGGGTATATGCATTCAGAAGAGTGTTTGGCTGACACCAAAACAAGGTATCATGTGCCACGTCACCTGTCCAAACACATTGACTATATTACACCCGGCATCAGGCTCAGTACTGGGCACTACGACGACAGAGTGACAAAACGTATGCAGGTCGATCGACGAGATAGGAAATGGGAGTGGCCCGAGCGAGGAGGAAACGGAAAGGGAAACGGGAAGGGGAATGAGAAGCCAAAGCCACCGCAGCAGGACTCAGAGCAAGAAGAGGAGAGCCACTTCAGGGTGACAGGGCCGTGCAACGAGGAGGTGACGGCTCATTGCATCAGAGGTGAGTGCTTGAGCTTGGCCATGCCAACTCACTTACTGATACCACACCAAAATAACCAGCGCAGTATCGAATTCCCGAAGGCCGCAGGGCGAGATGGGGAAACGAGTTGGGAGTATTCCAGAGTCTCAGTCAGCATTACAGCCAGGAAGATCTGGATACATACTGGAAGTACATCTCACCGTATGTCAGCTACCTAGTGCGTTACTTTTAAAACCGGTCGACTGAGAACAGACAGATGGGTCCCCAAGGGCACGCACCCAGAGCTGCGCTCCATCAACGGCGCCTACGGCCCGACAAACGACACGGCGCTCGCCGGGGAGGAAGCCAACCTGGACTTCCAGGTGGCCATTCCCCTGATATGGCCTCAGAAAACCGTCCTCTTCCAGACCGACGACGAGTGGTACCAGCAGGACCAGACCCGGCCGGATACCCGCTACACCGGCTTCTTTAACAGTTCCGTGACCCCCCCTTCCCAGCTCCTTTCTCACCCAGTCCAAATATCACCCCTGACTTACCTACTAACCCGTGTGCCAGCCTTCTTCGACGGCCTCGACGGCTCCTACTGTTCCCTAACCGCCTTCAACCAAACAGGCAACTGCCTCGACCCGTCCTGCCGCGACCCCGAGTATCCCAACCCCAACGCCGACCCGGCCTTTGAGGGCGCGTACCACGGCGCCCTGATGTGTGGCGCACACCGCCCGACCCATGTGCTCTCGGTCAGCTACAGCGGCACCGAGCACTCGTGGCCCGCGAACTACATGCGCCGCCAGTGCTTCGAGGTCATGAAGCTAGCCCTGCAGGGGATCACGGTCGTCGAGTCGAGTGGTGATTTTGGCGTGGGCGGGCGCAGGTTTGACTCACGTGCTGGTTGTTTGGGTGAGGGAAGGGATGTGTATGCGCCAAGGACGATGGGGAATTGTCCGTATGTCCTGAGTGTGGGTGCTACGGCGCTGGTGGAGGTTGGGAAGCAAGGCGGGGGGAGGTTTGCGGAGACGGCGGCGAGTGCGTTTGCGTCTGGAGGGGGGTTCTCGAATGTCTTTCCGCGCCCGCCGTGGCAGGACAGGCATGTCTTGGGGTACCTGCAGAGGGCGGATCTGGAGGAGAAGGGGTATGTGAATGCCGCGGGGAGGAATTATAGTGAGATTCGGCCCGAACCGGGGAAGCTGTTTAATAAGGCGGGCAGGGGATATCCGGATGTGGCGGCCATCGGGGAGAACTTTCGCGTCGTGCTCAGGGGGTATCCCAATCGCATGCATGGCACGTCGGTGGCGGCGCCGATTTGGGCGTCTATTCTGACCCTGATTAATGAGGAGCGGCTGGCTGTTGGGAAGAGGCCGGTTGGGTTTGTGCATCAGGTGCTGGTGAGTGCTTTGACAGGGGCGTCTGCAAGGTCATGTCTATCGTTTGATGATGGTTCAAGACTGACAGGAGGTCATAACAGTACGCGCATCCCGAAGTCTTTACCGACATCAAGAACGGGTCAAACCCCGGGTGTGGAGGAGAAGGGTTCCCGGCCAAGGAGGGTTGGGATCCCGTCACAGGACTAGGGTAGGGCTTCTGCTCTGGTGTGCAGCTGGATTTTGCTAATCCGGGTCTCTCTAGGACGCCGATTTACCCCAAACTGCGCGACCTGTTCCTGAGGCTGCCGTGAACGGTTCAGTGGTTCTGATTTGCGTGCAAGGTCGGAGGCTGTATCTGCATTGATGCCGACGTAGGGAGCCAGACCTGAATGAAAGTTGACCATCACATATATGCTAGCAAAGTCGATACGGGAAATTGAGGGGAAGGAATATGGAAGCAGATGGAATGCATACACGTAGGGGTAAAACAACCGCGGACATAACATGGAAGCATCACTAGTAGTAGTATCAACGATATCCTGTCAACACAGAGGTACTAGCACCCGGTATTGTACGCGACTGTCTCTCAATTGCTCTCTCCGTGGCCCGCTCACAGGGTGGCCTGGCTCTATATCTTACCACTTATAAGTCTGTTGACACTGAGGAACATCACGGTGTAATCCTCCCGTCCTGTTCCTAGATGTTTTAACTGCTACTCGTAGGATCAAGTTCCGTCATGTATAGGTCCTTCATACTACCATTGCTTGAACTTTTTGGCTGGAGCCACTGACGGGCAACGCATCAAATAAGCCTTTTGGTTCCTGTTGGTAGTGTAAATTGAGCTTTCTCCTATCTAATGTGTGGGTCAGATGTCCTGGCTTCATCGATAACAAACGGACGATGCCTTACCCCTGACTACCTATTCCATGTTGACGGTTTTACTGCCATCTACCATGACAGACTTCAACTCCGGCTGCAGGTTCGGGAGGGGAGACGACTTCTTTATGCAGCTCTTAACTAGCTGATGTCTCTGCAGCAAGGTTAGTTGTTCAGTCCTACTATTCACCACGTGCTCGTTTACTCAGACACTGACAGTCCATGCCGTACCTTCAGGGCATCCTTCCTGGAGAAGAACTTGTTGCAGCTGGGACATGGGAAGGGCTTTGCAGCAACGTGAATCCGCTTGTGCCTCTTTAGATCGTGGTTCCGGCTGAAGGATTGCCAACAGACATCGCACCTGAAGGGCTTGTGTTGATGGGATGGCTCGTGAGCAGTTGTGCGCTCTGTCTTAATCGTGCTGTCGCAGGAGGAGCTGGTGGCATTCGTAGTAGCACTCGAAGTCGCACTCGGTTGTAGCGGTGCAACTATAGACGGGCCAGAAGGCCGTCCATAGGGGTCATGAGGAGGCATGAGAGGCAGCGGACGGCGAGAGGGAGGGCATGACACCGATCTCCCGGAAGGGTGGGCTAGATCCTCGTTTGATGGAGCGGAAATTCGACCAAGATTTTGACAAGACGAGTCGCCCAGAGATGTCGAGGAGGAACATTGAGGAGGAGCCTGCAGCAGACTTGCAATGTGACTGATGGGGGGTAGCTGGCTGCTGGACTCGGAGCGAGGTGCGGGTACTAGTAATGAACGACACGGAGGAGACGCAGGGAGTGGCTTTCGGGGTACTTGAGCTCCGCGGTTCGGTTGTGACTGTATCCAGGAGCCCGAGCCCTGCTGACCGTTCCGAGGCCCCGGGCTGCTCGGATTTTCGTCTCGTTGCTCCAGTGGTGACACCGAGTCTGAGGCTGGTGCCGATCGCCTCTCCGAGTCCTCCCGGGTTGAACCAGAGCACAGGGGCCTATTGTGTGCATCTCTCTCAGGAACCCCCGCACCGTCATATACACTCCGTGGGGTTGCAGATAACGGCGGTAGCAGGTGAGGAGGTGACGGCGGCGCCGACGGTGCCCGTTGCTGATGCAAACCTGAAGTTGTTGATCCAATCTCGGTCAATCCCATTGCTTACTAGTAGTACAGACGCATGTTCTAGTTGGGATAACAAGTTGTAGTTCTGCGCGTCACGGGTTATTGGGGAGAAATTGAGTTGAGACAAGACCAGCAGAGACGGATCAGAGCCGTGAGCCACTGAGCCCAGCCCTCAGCTGAATCCGGCGGCGACCCCTGGGAGAGCTTCTCTGCGCCGGGGGCTGTGCTCAGTGTGCCGGAACAGGAATCGCTCTTACTCGTGCATCTTGGCAACCGCTGCTCAGAATTCTGCTTCAGCCACTCAAACATTGGCCGCAGACCGGACTGCCGTTGGCTGTCTGAGTTTATCTTTTGTGCTAGCCACTGGCGGCGTGCAGCTGGCCACTGGCAGAACAGCATCAGCATCACGCTGTATGTACAAGTACATACCTTACATACTAAGTTCAGTCGTAGCGGCAAATTCACAGTTTACAAACCGTTGAACGCATCATAGAGCATTATAGAGTAGTATTTGTTTTGAGACCCCTGACCCTAATGTCAGCATCACGCGGAGGACGCTTAACGACGCGAACGACTCGGATCTCTACTTACAGCTCTTAACTACTACCTAGGTTTGTACCTGATGATATTAGTGGTACTTGTGCATTCGTTGGTGAATTCACCTTTTGTTATCAGTCGTTAGAACATGATATTTCTAGTAGTAAGTACCTTCAATCCAGGGGTTGAGCTACGAGAAGGCCCCTATCCAGTCGCGAAAGGGCGTAGGCAGTTGGCTCGAACAAGAAGATACTGCTACACTGCTACTGGTGCCTGATGAGTATAATACTCTCGATTGGTGGACCTGCCCTCTTAACTTGGAGAGTAGGAGTAGGGTCTCGAAGAATACAGACCGTCTGAGCTCTGAGAGGCAGAGAAGACGAGGTATGCTACAACTGTTTTTTTCTTGTCATGGTTGCCACCTACCTAACCATGATACCGGGCAGTGACTCTCTGTTGAGGGCCGGGATCCAGCTTCATCGCTTCCATGGTCCAACATCCTGTCAACGACGATGCAAATACTTGGTCGATCCTGACCTAACCGTAATCCAGATTCTCCGATCGACAACTGCTAACCCATAAAGGCTACCGGGAGGAATCTTTGCATCGGAGGTTATTGCCACTACTCACATAGCATACCTAGTAAGGTACCTACATACTAGCGCATGAACACTACTGTACTAGGCATGCATGCGAAGAGCCGGCATTATAGTTCAAACAGCTGGCCCATATCCCAAATCCCTTTTCCCATCCCCACAAGCAGGGCCACCTATCATGATGCCCGTCGACGTAGATCTCCTACATGTAGTCGAACCCCCGTTTCAGATCCGCTCTATGGGTGCGCTCCATTGGATCATCTGGCCGGGTTAGCCACATTAGCCTCTTATCTGACTTCGGCTGCTTCCAGATATCAATCACGCCAGTCCCAGTGCCAAGCCCCTGGCCAAAGTGGTCTTCTCCCCGTGCTCCTCTCCTTTGAATCCTCAAACTTTGTGCATAGTACTGATGGCTGAGTTTGAACTCCTTCACTCAGCGGAGAGCTGGTTCAGGTAAGGCCGCCAACATGAGCCACCGGAGAATTTCATGAGACGCCTCATTGGGACCCTCTTTGCATCGCACTGCTCTCCCGAAGCAATGGCCCTCAATGGTAATGCAACCCCTCGCGCTTGTCTCGTAGTAACCTTGGCTGCCTCCTGCGAGGCCATCTTATCCAGAGATTCCAGACCATCGGTGCTCCCGGCACAACCCTCTCAGGGCCCTCACTATACCCAGGTCGTACTCGTGAACTCGCGGGGGATGATTGTCCATTTTGCTGAGGGCCCAGTGGTATTGTACATGTACTAGTATTTACCCGCGCTCCTGTCACACGGCAATATCCTCGAGTTTATTGCTGCCCTTACCCCGGATCGGGTAAAAAGCAACCCCAGATCCCGACTCGACTATCGAGCGGGACCGCGCACTGCCGTGCCGCGAGTGCATGCTGACGCCGGTAGGCCTGGGATGTTGCTAGTGCCTCAAGCTGGGTATCCTACTTGGTAAAAGCCGTCCTCTGTGCCGCAATCACCAACGGAGCTCTTAGGATTGCTCAAGGAGGAATGGCACGGGCGTAGGAACCGTTGTCTCGTTTCCTTTTAAACCCGCCAAGGGAGAAGGGCATGGGAATATCCAAGTACTTACTGCGCCTGATGTCCTGAGAAGCTCAATGGTGAACCCCTTCCTGTCCTTAGCACAACCTCCCGTCTCACCGTGGCACCGGGACATCACATCTGCTCCAATTCATAATTGCTTGGTGCATTTACACCGCAAGCTTTGGGGACAAAGACAGAGACTTCCACATCCCGGCCCTTCACCGGTTCCCTTTTGTCCATGTCCACAATGTTGGTCACGGTGTAGCAGGCCATGATCGACAAGCCGAACCGCTCTTCCAAACATTGTTTCTACCCTTAGTCCATCCATTGTACCTGGCGATACCAAACGAAGTGGCTTGAAAAATGCTAAGCAGCGCCCTCGTATGCCTCCTGCTCTTCGTCACGGCATATCATGGCGCTGTCATAGCGAGCAGTCCCCGTCTCCCGCTCGGCAACCGAGGCGAAGCAGGTGCTCCGCAGAAACCAGGCTATGTTCGGATGCCGGTATCCCGACACAGGTTCAATGGCACAGGAAGGTGGCCGTGGGGATGGCACTGGTCGCCGCCCCCGGGGTTTCCGGGACCATGGCCGTGGCCCGGGTCCCCTTCGCCCTTCCAACCGACGGGGACTTTCTCTCCGCAAGGTCCGAATCCCTGGCCCACACCACAATCAGGATATCCATCAATACCATGGCCTTCTTTCTCGTTTCCTACCGCATCTCTTAACGTGCCGAACCGGCCGCCAAATCTCCCCCCAACTTCGTTATCTTCTTCGGCAAGACCCAAAACTACATCGGCGACCAAGGCGGTATCAACTCTATCAACAGCATTGCCAGCAACTCCTCAACCACCAGTGCGCCGGCAGGCCCCAGTAGACCGACGATGGGGATGGTCGAGTTTGCAAGAGTTGGGCGGCATTGCCTACATCCTTGAATGTGCGTATAGCCAGTGCCATCAATCTCTAGGTACAAGTACACAAACCACTTGATATGCCCTAACAGTCCCACCCGATTCCTGCAGTGCAAATCGGGACTCCGCCCCAAAAGATCAAGGTCTTTCTTGACACGGGGTCATACGAGCTGTGGGTGAATCCCAAGTGCAACACGTCGGCGTCCGAGGCCATCTGCCAGAGCCACGGCATCTATTATCCCAACAAGTCCAACTCCTCCATGTACGTGGGCGGCGACTTTGCTGTTACGTACGGCACGGGAGCAGTCAAGGGCAGCTACTGGTCAGATATCATGAGCATAGCAAGTAAGTTCATAACGCTTCTCCCAATTGACGACCCGCGTCCCTGATTATTGATGGGCGAAATTGAGGTGACTGACTTTAACCCAAAGTGTTTCAGATACCCCAAGTGCAGTTCGCTGTTGCGAGTGACAGCAACTACACGTTTTCCGGCATCCTGGGCCTGGGATATGCATACCCCTACTCCATCAACTACCCGAGCGTCCTGAATCTGATGGTGTCACGAAAGCTGATATTGGCGCCGATATTCAGCCTGGGATTAGGGGGTGACGGAGACGGATTCAGTAAGAGACACTATCGCTTGAATCATTCCAGACTCATACCTCTCTAACCATAATCCCATCGCCAGGCGAGATCATCTTTGGCGGCGTCAACAGGTGGAAGTTTGCCGGGCCTCTGGAGCCCGTGTCCATCTGGCCTCCCATCTCCGAGCAAGACCCGAGATGGATCCAGTGAGCATTTCATTTTCCCCCTTTCACTCTGCACCACCAGCCCTGGAGTAGTACCCGCAAAACTGAAACGTCCCCCACTAATAAATAGATACTGGGTCAACGTAACCTCGGTGGGCATCACCAAACCCGGCGAAAGCCCCGTCATCTACACACCCCGAGAGACCTTCGTCATGCCGACGCTGATCGACACGGGCTCAACACTATCCTACATCCGCGAGGACCTGGTCGCCACCATCGGCCAACAATTCCAGGCCACCATTGACGCCCAGGGGAACTATATAGTCGACTGTTCCTGGCGCAACAGGAGCGGCACCGTCGACTTTGGCTTCAACCGCGGCCGCATGGTCATCAACGTGCGCTACAAGGACTTTATCTACCAGCAGTACCCGGGCCATTGCATGTTGGGTGTGCAGCCGGCAGACGTGGGCTCGACGAATTTTGTGCTGGGGGATACCTTTATCAGGGCGGCGTATTGTGAGTCATCATATGTAATTCCCCTGAAAAGCCCTGAACAAGCGGTTCTGACATGGCATGGCAGTGGTTTTTGATCAGCAGTCCGACATAGTGTGGATGAATCAATACTATAACTGTGGAGACGGTGTGGTAACCGTTGGCGAGACACCTAAAGACACAAAATACATTGTCGGTGCGTGTTAGTCTTTACCCTGTCGTAGTTGACACGAGTTTGGTTGGTTGAAGGGTTACTATCTGGATAGAGGAGAAAGAGATTCACAGTGAGGGGAAACCATGCAGGTATCGCACCAAGGAGTCTCCAGAAAAGGGGCAGGGGCTGCCGAGAAGGGGCGACTTGCATGTAGGGCCTAGGTGCAAACTTTCGATACCGTAGACGATGTTTACATACCTTGAAATGAGAACTACTAGTATTGCTGTTCATGGTTACTCAATGGTCATACCAGTACAATGTCCTTCATTTCACCCTCCGCCCACTCCTGAAACTCCTTCAACGCCTCGCCATGCATAATCGTGGACACAAAGCATGGGCCGACAACAACAGCCGTCACAGCATCTTCCTCACCGCCATCATGCTGCACATGCCTCAGAACTACCGGCATCTTACACCCCATCAGCACAACCACCCAATCCCCCTCCTCAGCGCCCGCGGGAACAATAGCCGGCCCCCTGCCCGTCATGGCAAACCGCCTGGTATGCCTCGCCGGATCAAACAACTCCGCATGCCCCACCAGCTGCTCAGGCGGGTGCGGAATTGACACGGGCGTCAGCGGCAGAAGCTGCGTCAGGAGTGCGACGGCAAACCCCCGGACGCGGAGCTTGCCCCCGTTGGCAGGGTCCTGGGGCGAGCACCGCGTGAAGCCTGCCGCGCCGAACTTGTACGTGAAGTACTCAAAGTTTGCTTTCAGCGGGATGCGCGACGTGGGAACGCGCCAGTCCGGAGTCCACGAGGGGAGGTCGGCCGAGGAGGAGGATTCGTCGCGGTGGTCCGGCAGGATGCACAGGATGTCGAGGCTGAGGTCGCGGTTGATGAGGTATTTGGCTGCCCGTTGGTAGACCTCGGAGACGCTCGCCGAGTAGTCGATGCGGATGCTGGCAGTGCCATTGCTCGCCGGCGAGCCATCCGGCCCGTTGTCAATCGGCGTTTGTGCCAGGCCGAGGACCGAGTACACCTTGTCGCGCGGGTCTGTTGCCTCGAATAGTCGGCTCACCATCAGGAGATCCATCAAGCCGCCCGTCTGATAGTACCAAACAGAGCGGATATCGCCCATGGTTGTGAGCACGGACTGGCCCAGCACCCAGTGCCGCTTGAGATAGCGGAGGGGCAGGTTTTCTTCTCTCCAAAGCGTTCCCGAATTCGCATCCTCGCCAGTGCTGCCCTGGGTCGTTGAAAAGGTCAGGCCACGGAGTTTCTGTCGAAGCCTCCAGAGAGTATTGGAGGTTCGCTTCATTGCATTCCAGCTGGTAACGCTAGAACCGCATTGCACCGTGATCCGTTTGGCGGCGGATACTTCCTGGCGGATCCAGCATCGTGAGAACCACGGCCGGCGGAAGAACTCCTCCAGCACCGCAATCAACTGCCTAATATGTTCCACGCACTGAGATCCGTGGTCCCTTCGCATAATGGCATGGCGGTTTGCCCTGACATTGAGGAAATTCATGACCGCCACGGCTAGATTCCCCTTTCCCTCGGCTCGCCCAAGCCAGACAATGACGCGACTCGATGCCTGGTAGATGGCTAGCATGTGGCGAACCTGCTCGTTGCGTTCTGGAATGTTGTCTTGGTTGATGCAAATGGCGTCCACCCAGAGGCACTGTGACTGGTCGGATCGGCGAAGGTAGTAAAGGGCATGGAAGAGGTTGGTGGTGACGGCGAACGGCAACTGGTTGCATGTGATGACATGTGTTCGAACAGGCGAGCCCCAGGCATAGGACAAGGCTATGAAGTCTTTCTCTGGGGCGTTGGATTCAGTCCCATGCGTGGCCACCCCTGGGATCGCCATATGCTCCAGCCGACATACGACAGGGTTGGACTCAGCGCCTGGTTCAAGAATGAGGACTCGCGTTTCGCCCTGTGCAAGCGGCATGTAGATGTCTGGTTGGGTCGCGGGTAGTTCCTGCGCCGGATGCTGCGGCAGCACTTCTGGGCTGTCCCTGGAATGCTCGGTCGATTTGAGCCAGCAACCATCGTCGCAAGCCGGGTAATAGGGTGATACACGGCAGTGGTCTAGAGAAACTTCGGACCCAGAGGACGTGTACCCTACATCTTCCACATCTTGGGAACGTTTTGACTTTGATCCAGGAAAGATGCCCTCTTGAAGTTGATCTCCTTTCTTGTGCACAGCAGAAACCAGATCCTTGTTTTTCAGCGCAATATATCCATGGCTGATCCATTGACTCTCGCGCTTGAGAACCGGGCCAGGGTTGTCGTAATCCAGGTCAAAATTTCCATGCGTGTCTACAGCGATGAAGTCATCTTCATCTCGGTTGTTCTTTCCATATCTATCGCCGAGCAGCTGGCGTCTTAGTAGAATTTTGAGGTGCTCCTTCCTCAGCTTTAGGCGGGTCTTCTCATCGAAATTCTCGCCTGTTGGCTGTTCGTCTTCCAGCGGTTCTCCTTCTAGAGTCGCCGCAACAACCTCTTCTAGAATGGCTTCGAAGTTTTGCTCATCCATCCTAGAATATGAGTTCAGTATCGGTCATGGGGTGTACATATGTAGAAAACATACACCCTCCCATTCCCAGAGCTCTTTTCAGGTTGGATCCCGGACAAACTGGAAGTTGCAAAGTCTGCCGTTGGCTTGTTGATCCCTTCATCCTTCTCCTTCTCTTTGCTCTCGTCCTCGTTATCCAGGGGCGCCAAAAGCATATAATTGCCAAAATTGCGCATCTTCCACCCACTCCCTTGAACTAGGTCCCCAATCTCGGTTCCAGAGTTATCAGTCCATCGCAGTTCGCCGTCTACGAATATGGCCTTTCGCCAATTGCTGCTGGACTCGACCTCCCGTATGTGGTCCATTGGGACGAAGGAAAAAGATGGTACGCTGTCGGCGGTATCTGTGCCGGCGCTTGAGGCTTCCATGTTCAAATGTTGGGTGAGATTGCTGAGGTCGACCGTGATCCTGCTGAGGGTGTTGACGATGAGGTGCGATGGAAGGTACGGATGAGCCTGGATCCGATTGAGAAGCATTTTATGTCCTGGTTGTCCAAGCGGGGTAAGAGTGCGGCTGAGATCAATGTCTCCTTGAGGCACGACGGCCCGGAGTTGTGTGCTCAACCCAGGCACCCCATGGGTTGTTAACAATGTCGCAGTGGTAAGGCAGAATTCGACGCCTCTGAGTTACTCTTCACCTCATCTTCACACTGCCTTGCCCAAGGCAGAGTATCACAGTACTCACACTTATTCTATGACCACAACAACCTGCAATACATCAGCGCCACCGCAATATGTACCCGTTGCGCCCATACCTGCTCACCCCCTGACCACCTACAGTACCTCTTAACACAACAGATCACAAACCGGTCCTCTCCGCAACTGGGCCTTCCCTCGTCCAGATATTCAACCCAATCTTGCCCCCTCCGGTAACAGGCAGTCCAGCGTGCAACGTCCGTTCATCACCCACCCTCCCCCCCTTTCCATCCGGCGGCAACAGGTTGACCCAAAACACAGCATTCCCCTCAACCGGACGAAAAGTAACCCCCTTCTCCCATTCCGCATCACAGTCAAGTATACCCTCATCACACCACCTCCCCTCCGCGGGTACTTCACCAAGCCGCGGGAAGTTTGTCCCCCCTCCCGTAGTGCCGTTGGCCACGTGCACGTAGGCAAAGAAGGACGTCACCCGGTTGTTCCCCTCACTGCCGGGCGACGTGAACCAGTCGGTGTGGAAGTGGTAGTGCTCCGTCGGCGCATACTTGACCAGCTGCAGCGGCTCGAGGTGTGAGCGGGGCGTGTCGTAGCCCTGGAACAGCAGTGCGCGCGTCTCGATGCAGGCCACGATTGGGTCTGATGGCGGGAGGGTCGTGGATTGCGAGGTGCGGAGGGCGCTGTTGTGGTTGTTTGTGGTGCTTGATTTGTCTTTGTTGTTGTGGTTGTTGTTGGAGGTGACTCCGCTGCGGGTAAAGGTGTCTTTTCTGCATTCTTGTTAGCATCGAATAGGGGTTGGGACCGGTGAGTTGGAGATCGAAGGTGCAAAATCGTTCAGCAGCAACGTACGTTATTCTCTGCAAGTGAGCACGCTCGTCGGTGGTGAGGAAGTTTTGTATGTAGATGACCAGGGGAGACTGGGAGACCATGAGGACTTTGTACGGCGGGTGTTCGCAGACATACTCTCCGCTCAGCACGGGTCTGTCCCCAAGCTGATGCTGAGAAGCATGGAATGGATACTGGCCGGGCGCATACTGTAGCGCGACGGCGATGCCAAAAGACGCAATTAGGTATCGTAATGAAGACATGGCTCTAAGCTACGCCTTAGGTCATATCCGTCCTCTCAGCCCAGTGGGCAGGAAGTCAGCGGATGGCATCCATCTTACATACCGACCAAGCAGTCAAGTAGTTGTGACTTGTCCTTGCGTCGTTACAATGGAATGCGCCGGAACTGTACGGATGATCTTCGGGAAGAGGGCAAACGTCTGGCATATGAAACACTGCACGCTTCGTGGTGTCAAGGTGTCTTTGCGCTTCCCAGGAGTTGTTCCTGTGCATTCCGGTAGCAGATCTGCGTCACAGGTAGTGCCCCCTTGCAGCATCCCGAGGATCTACCAAGACAGTAACATGAAGCTACCTCTATTGAGTGTTACTAGGTCCTCTAAAACCCAATTGAACGTTGAGGGAGCATGAAATACAGCTTCACCCAATTTCCAGGTTGCCGTCCAGTCTCTCCTGTCACTATTTGCAAAATTCGCTCTCGATCTTCTGTATACTTATACAGGATGAAGTTCTGGGGATTCGGATCAGCTCTTCTTCTGCTACGCTACAGAGTAGTGGCGTGGCAGCATTTCGCTCGAGTCGAGGAACTAGATGCAGCATTAAGGACCAATGACCGGACCCTTATTGCTTGTCAGTCTCCAAATCCAACCCGAGATCTAATCAGTATTACGGAGAGACAGTCCTACTGACTATATTAATGCAGATGTATTAGTAAGTGTTTGCGAGTCAAACAATGCATTCTCATCCACATGCGGGCTAACACCGGGCTCCGGCCACTAAAGCCACAAGAGTAAACACTTGCCTAGCGTTGCCAGAAAAGTCCACAATACTCACTCTCACCAGGGAAGTGAGCCAAGCGCTTGAGCCAGAATGGAGCTTAGTACAAGAATCTGAATGGGGTGAGAAGGCCCTTAGTGTGGACTGCTCAGCCGAGGCAGAACTGTGTCGTCGTTCAGGGGTATCGTCTTTTCCTGCAATTCGTCTGCACCACCGAACCGGCCAGCAACAACGTTACCGAGGGGAGCGGAAAGCAAGATCCATGCTGAGTTTCCTTGACAGAACTAGCCGGCCGGCACTGTCATATGTCACCAAGAACAACGCAACTGCCTTTCGAGATGTCGACGATGTCGTGTTCATTGGCCGTTTCTCGCCGAGCAGCAAGCATAGTATCCGGGAAATCTTCGCTACGGTTGCCAGAAAATACCAGGACCGGTTCTCATTTGCCGTGGCCGACATGGAGCAAAATGAACAGCAGCCGGCGACTCTCGAGTGCTACAACAACCCTGACGTTGTACACCGTTCAACCGCAGAACTGTTCGGTCCGGCATCAATCGAGGCTTTCGTCAAACTCTGCTCAACACCGCTGATTCCCAAGCTGACAAGGCAGAACGAGTTGTCTTTCTATGAGGTAGGTTCCTCTAGTACCTTACCTGTAGGGATGCAAGCGTCGGACCTTTTTTTCATAACGAAACCAGCGCACAGCTGACACAACACCTCGGACAGACACGAAAGAGTTTGGTCCACTATTTCGTGTACGACGACCAGGAACGAGAGACATATGCCGCTGAGATTCGTCCGTTGGCAAGGAAATACGAAGAGTACCTACACTTTGTGACAACGGATGCGAATGAATACCCCGATGCGGTAGAGATGATGGGACTCAAGCCTGGTTCTAGCGGACTCGCTGTGCAGAATCCAAACAACGGGGACATCTTTCCTTATACGAGGAGAGAGAGGATAACAGCTAGTACGCTCGAAGCTTTCCTGGCTGACATCATTCAGGGGAAGGTAAAAGCCTGGAGGGCAGGCAACGCAGAACGTGACGAGTTATAGGGCAAGGTTGTGGAATTGTAATGCAGAACTAACGACATGACACAATGGAAAGTTATATAGGCCAAGGCCTCCCCTCAATCCCATTTATCCACCGTGACTCAGACTAGATCCAGTCTTTAGCTTGTTGGATGGAATGGGCCTTCGAGGCAAAGCGATTCTTGCTGCCCTGGATATTTTTGTTCTTCCAGCTGCCATTGCCCTTCAGGTTGAAGTCGTTTAGGTTGGTCTTGGCCCCTGGGTTGCCCATGGTATAGCCCTTGCCCTTGAAGTCGTTCTTATACCCACCGAACTGCCTTGGGTAATTTGTTGGACGGAATGGACCCTTCGAGGCAAAGCTGTTCTTGCCGCTCTGGATATTTTTGTTATTCCAGCTGCCATTGCCTTTTAGGTTAAAGTCGTTCAGATTGGTCTTGGCCCCGGGGCTGCCCACGGCGTAGCCCTTGCCCTTGAAGTCGTTCTTGTACCCACCATACTGCCTTCGGTAATTTGTTGGACGGAATGGACCCTTCGAGGCAAAGCTGTTCTTGCTGCCCTGGATGTTTTTGTTCTGCCAACTGCCATTGCCCTTCAAGTTGAAGTCGTTCAAGTTGGTCTTGGGCCCGGGCTTGCCCACGGTGTAGCCCTTGCCCTTGAAGTCGTTCTTGTACCCACCAAACTGTCTCGAGGCAATGCGAACCTTACCGCCTTGGATAAGTTTGTTCTTCCAGTTGCCCTTGCCCTTCTTGCCCTTCAGGCCCTTCAGGCCGTTCCTGTTCCCGCCGAACTTGCTCAAATCCTTTGGGAAAGCTGAAAAGGGGACTCCGAAGGAGGGGCATCGACCAATAGTGCATGGATCACGCGCCTCAAGTCCAGCAAGGAGCCCATCCTCCTCATCTCTCTTAGACACTTCGGATTCCTAGGGCAGGTAGGTAGTCAGCTCGCTGAGGATATGTGGTCCTCCTCCGACAGAGGACAAACGCGGTGGGTATATGTGTAAGGTAGTCGTACCTCTACATCTCTTTCTTCTGGCACAGGGGCTGCCAAAGCCGGGACGGCAGCAAGACCAGCGGCTATTGCCAACGCGCCCTGGTGAAAACAAATCCATATCAGTCATATCTCCGAGGTTGTTTTATCTCAAGGGTTTCTGTTTGAGTAGGTACGTACAGTATGACGTAGACCGAGGGCTTGAGGGCCAGGTGCAGAGAATCCAGCTACAGTGGTAGTGGCGAGGAGTCCGCTAGCAAGGACTTGGACGATAGCTGGGGCGTACATTTTGATTGGAGTGAAGGGCAGGCCGGCTGCACTAATTTCAAGATAGTGAAAGGCAAAGAGGTATGCTCTTTAGGTTACAAGGCTCATTACAAATAAACCTGTGTAAGGGGAAACGAGAGAATAGAGAGCGGTCCGGCCGCTAGTAGTAAAGAGCGTGGTATTAAGGAGTGTAAAAGACCGGAAGATGCTGTCTAAAGAAGGAGCAGTCGATGCTGGTGACGAAGGATAGGCGTCGAGGACTAGAAGCCTGGAAGCCGATCTATTTATCAATTATCATGGGCTGTGTGGTAAGGACATCTTTACCTCCAGTCCTCACTACCATAGATTCTCGACGCGGTTAGTATTTCGGCCTACTACCTTGCAATCGAGATGTTGTTCTATTCCAATCAGTATTCGTACCTCCTTAGGCTCCTTGGTAGGTGGGATTGCTGGGGTGTCTTCCCATCAGGCTACAAGATTTACACGGACCAAGAAGAAGGATTACTATAACTAACCTAGGTCTCTGTGCTACAGCGCCTTGGGCAGCCGACGCCTTCCAGCAGGATTGGCCTGGGAATGCACTGCAGGAGGATGTTGGTTTCGCGCCGCTTCCGGCGACCGGGCCATTGGATGCAAAGAGAGCCGAATTTACGCTCAATTGCAACCTGATTATTAGGTAAGTTATCTATTTACTGTACCTGGTAGTAGCATGGACAAGTTCCAGGCCACCACCTAGCGTGCATGTCCTGATACGTACTTGGCTCATTTTGTTGGCCGCACCCCGGGATCTGGGGATCGACCTCCGCCACCTCCGCGCTGCAATGGCAGACAAGCGAGCTGCAATAAAGCTTGTTTGCCCTGTTTATAGACTTAGGGTGCTATGACCCTCGCTGTAGTGACCTTGGATGGATAGAGCGAGCTTGGTGTCAACTTGAATTGGGAACTTCACGGAGACTTCCAGGTTCGACCGTTCGAGCTGTGCCCTCGGCCTGTTTGTCGCCCCTGCCTTCAGGCATAAGGGAGGCTCCTGCCGAATCCCCGCGCCCTTTCCCAAACATGAATCTCCCGTTGTTTTCTCACCAACCCCGTCTTTACCCGCCCTAAGAGGTAAGTAAGGATCTTAAGGAAGTGGTTGGTCTAACTTTAGCGCGTGCAGGTCCCTGCTCAGGCTCCTAAGCTGCTTCCCGCCAACGCGCTATGTGCAGACTGCAGAGGACCTTGGCTGGTTCGTCGGCAAGAGAATTTTGATCTTAGGTCCCTGGGGTATCGATGTGCAGCATCCGTCCTATGAATTTCGAGAATCCAGAGTGGCCTACCTACAGCGATGTCGCCACCCTTAACCTGAATGAACTAATTCTGGTAGTTGTGAATCATCCTTGGGGATAGGAGGGTCGCTATCATATTCATGAGTAAACATTATCATCAAGCGCTACTAGTAGCAACAGAGTTTCCTGCTCCCATTGACCATGCAGAGAATCAAGCTCTGCTTGACATGCATCGCTCATCACACATAAAGATGCATCACTCTGTCATAATCCTCCCAAAGGGCCAAGGGTAGGAAATCCCGGCCTAGACATAAAGCGAACCTGCAATCCCGGAGATGTACTGAGCCGCCTCGGACCGGAAGTCATCCTCGAGGTATTCGTTCCGATCGGCGTAAAACTGAATGAGTGTCCGCCGCTGTCCGGTCCAGCGCGGCCAGTTCTCGGCGACCTTGCTGCCGCGGCTGCTAGTGCCGCCCGAGGAGTCGTTAGGGTCCATGTTGTATACAAAATTGGCGTAGAAGCTCTGGATGCTCTTGCTTGCGTAGTTGGGCAGAATGCCGTAAAAGACCTGCAGGATATCACTCCCATGGAAGGTGCCCAGGATCGGGGTGCCGTAGTTGTAGCTGGCCAGGTAGGACCAAGCAGGCACCGTGGGGTTGGTACTGACGGCGCGCTCGAGGAAGGCCCGGCGACTCAGGGTGAAGACCAAGTCGCCGAGAATGGCAGCCATCCGCTTGAAGCCCGGGTAGATCTCGTTGAATATGCCGGTGCGGAACGGGGACCCTTCGGTAATCCAGTTGGGGTATTTGGCGACAAGTCCGGCGAGCTGTTCCCGACTGGCACTGTGGAACATCAGACCGCTGAGATAATCAACAATCAGCTTGTCAGAGGATGTGGTGTTGGACTGGAAGAGCGAGAAGAGTGTGCCCTCGTCCTCCTGATCGCCGATGATCATGGGCACGGCCGCGTACTTTCCCTCCTGGACTAAAACATCCGGGCTCTTGGTGAGCACCTTGCCATCAGGCCGGGGTAGGTACGAGAGGGCAACGGAGCTGTAGGACAATATCCCAGGAACCGAGTTCGCCGCCTCGAGGAATTTCTCGTAGGGAAGGGCACGTAGACAGGCCAGCGTGTCCTTGGCCCCGGCACAGCCGGCCTTGGCCACTACCGCATTGTAGGTTGCCTGTCCCTTGGGGCAGTCGACGGGGTCGGCAGGGACGAGACTGCCGGAGTTCATGATGCCGGCCCGGAAGAGGGGCTTGCCCTTGTACTTGTTGTTGCCGTCGAAGAGTGCCATCTGATCAAAGACCGAAATAGCGCCCGCAGACTCGCCCCAAATGGTCACCTTGTCCGGGTCGCCGCCAAAAGCAGCGATATTGTCAGCAACCCACTCCAAGCCCATGCGCTGGTCGAGAAGGCCAAGGTTGGCTGCGCCATCGTTGAGGATCTCTTTGCCAGGCATAAATCCAAAGCCACCTACGCGGTAGTTGACCGCCACAAAGATGTAAGGCTTACCCATCTGGACGGCGTTTGCAACTAGCGGACCGGCATCATACATTGAGGTCCACCCGAGCTTGAGGCCTCTAGTCAGCGACGAAACGGGATCACCGGGATCAGGGGCGGAATTTTTCACCTCGAAGCCTCCTCCAAAGATCCAGAACAGCACGGGCAGCTTGTCACCAGCCTTGGTGCCCGTTGGCCGAATGACGTTCACCGTCAGGCAGTCCTCAGAGACCTTGAGGGCCTTCTGGAAGAGAGGGGAGTTCCCGACGAGGTCAATCACCTGATCGAGAAAAGAATTCGAGTCCGAGTCAGCCAGGAACTGTGGGCAGGCGGGAGCGATCCCCGTGCCGTCGAAGACACCGATGGATGAGTTGAGTTTCACCGGCGGCTTGAGCCGCAGCGGGCCGACAGGGGGGAGAGCAAAAGGGATCCCGTTGAAGGCCTCGGTACCCAGGCGACTGGAGCCGATGACAGTGCCCGAGGAAATAGTTACGGTTGGGACCGCCCGTGGCTCAACCACTCTGGCAGGTGGGCCAGGCGGCGCCGCGGTAGCCCGACCTAGCAGCACCGCAGCGGTGAAAGCCGAAATACCCTTCATGATCATGGTCGAGATGGCGGACCGGAATCACCAGGCGGTCAAGGGAGGTCGGATTCCCAGGCTGGACCTCTCAATCTCATGGCTAAGACAATGACGGAAGGAGAGGGCGGACCCTGCGTTTATCTAGCAAGCAATGGACCGGCGTATAGCGGTGTGTTGTCGGTCAGAAATTCCCCTGGCGGCGGCGGCGGCGGCGGCGAGGGCCTTGGCATTGCCGGCGCAACACCAAACGAGCCACAGTCAGACTCAGATCTGGCCGGATGCTAGAAAAGGCCATGACCGGGAAATGCGAGCTCCGCAGCGAGCCAGCTGACCACTGGGTGCCCCGGAGACATGAACAAGTTAGGCAAGGTCTGGAAGGAACTACCGGCGATCTTCCCTTGCCGTGCGGCTTGCGAAGCCCACTCAAGGTACCTACCCAGGCTCCTAGCATGCGGGGTGTTCCATCGTCGGCGACTCTTCTTGTAGATGTCGCATGCCAAGGTAGTATTTCCTGGGGAGAGGGGAGTGTAGACTGTAGAGGCACTTTCATCCGTCCTGGAACACCGTCGGGAGAAACGGACTTCGAGGTATTTCGACGAGAGGGAAAGAGCCAGGGGGAGGACTCATCACGGCGGCTGCGAGTAGTACGAAGCATGGCTAAGCCCATTGGCATGGCGTAACTGGGTTGCATCCAGTTGTCAGATCCAAGGCACTGAGATTTGATGGGACAGAAACTCCGGGTTTGATACACCGTGCCGTCTTCGCTCTCCCGTTGGGCGGCACAGCATGGCACATGGCATGTGAGAGAGACTTCCCGTTCCTGGCGCCAAAAGCAAGCCTCGGTACGAAGGTAGCCTGCCAGGGAAGGACGTCGATTGGTAAAGAGACGACGGGTTCGTCGGGCAGATGCCCCACCATTAACGTCACATCCCCAAATGGGCGGCACGACGCGGGGCAGCGATGAGTCCGAGGCGGTAAGTAAGGTAATGGCGAATTTAGATCCCAGATTGGATACGCCAGCAATCGTTCGACCACGGCTCTTGCAGCAATTCTCTACATAGAAGGGCGGCAGCTGCCGAGTTGTGATAGGTATCGTCAAAAATCATCGAGTCTGTTGGTTAGTGCCTGACTGCCCTGGCTCAGGGGCTGTTGACGCCGATCGGCGGTACCTTAAGGTAGGTACCTCAACTGCTTCCATTACCAACAACACCACACGGAAGGTCTAACCTGCTGAGCTGCAGAAGTCTCTCCTTCGCTGTCATCGCTTCGAAGTCAAATCTGGGGAAGAGCCTCTCTGCAATGCGGGGTGCAGCGCTAGGTATTTGCGGGGAACTCGACCGGGGCACTCCCACAGGGCCACAGCGGCTCAATTTCTCTTTTTAGCTTCAAGCCCGACGCCATCTCTATTTAGCTTTCAACACCAATTTTCGCTCTCGGGTTTTCTCTTTCAACTTTGATACTCGTTCTCGGTTCAAGTAACTCCCACATATCGCTTTGATAAGCTCCTGGATCTAACCAGGCTTTAGATCTCAAAATCTCCGGTTCGCGCCCCGCCCGCGGTATGTCAAGATCCAGGCACACCACCCTACTGCTTTCATTGATCTCGGGCAGATACCTGTCGGATTCTCGGTAAGTTGCACCTGCCCGCGATGCGAGACTGATTCGCTCCAGCTCCGCGTATACAGTACGGAGGGAACATATATGGGATTTGAGGGACGAAGTGATAGGTACGAACACTGCCAGGGAGGCTAATGTCACGGTAGGTAGCTAAGGTATGGTGGTACTAATAAGGGGTAAGTGCCCTGAAGCCTCGGCTACGAATCTAGATACCCGTCCCAAAAGCAAAGCAGGACAGTTAGGCTGGACCCAGATACTTTCAGGGTTCCAGACGGATCCGTTGATGACAGTGACACCGTGTTACTGCTCGCAATGGACAACGCCCGAAAGACCTTAATGGCATTCCCGAGAGCATCATGATACTAATGTTTCTGTTGTGCCAGCCAGCCGGCCCTTGGGAATCTCCTGAGCTTACGTGTCACTGCAGTGAGTGACAACTCCAGTCATGTCACTTACCGACCGTGGGCTACTAGTATGCAGTCCCAACTCCCAAGGCAATATCCGCCCACCATCCGAGCAGAACCACCCTCAATTGCCGAGGCATAAACGCAGTCCATTGATTCACTCTATTCATTCTCTCGAATTCTGCCATGTGAGTCACAGTCCGTGTTCGAAAATACGCGACATGTCTCCTTGAGTGGCGCCTCCGCAGATTCCGGCGTCACCCGCCCAGCTTACTTATTCTCTATACGAGAAAGCAACAGATCCAGGGGGTAACAGGCTCTAGAATGGCGACACCAGTGAATACTCCCACTAGTTCCGTAGTCCTTCCCTTCAGTTGTTACTTTCCCATTGGTCACATGCAGGTCCTGTGGCTCGATCGTTGATTGTAGGTGAAGAAATCAGCATCTTGAGTTGTCCCCGACGGAAGGCTCCTATTATACAGCTGACATGTATGGTTGTCTCACGGTGCGGTACGAATGTCCCAAGCTCTCAACCCCGGACAGACTCTGCTGCTGGCCATTGACCAAACAGTCCCGGCCATTATTCAACCGGACAAACTTGGCAACAAAGTCATGGATGTAACTGTGAATGTCTGAGGATACCATTTGAGGAAGACATATACCCACTGAAGTCATGCCTTTTCCGTCCCGAACTGAATAAATACCATGAGCACTGCGGCATAGCTTGGAAGAATGTCAGTCTCCCAGATACCCTGATGAACTGTGGGAGGGATTAGTTTGACCTACGCGGCTGTTGCCCCTAAGGCTTCAAACGGCTTTGACACCATGGCAAACGATATCAGGAGCAAGAAGATGAGAATGAATATCGTAATGACACCAAGCTTCATTGTAAGTGTGTTCAACGCCTGGAGAATCCAGATGGGAGCGATGAGCATCGTTGCGCCAATAGTAACGATCATGGTCGATGCAAACCCGTCGATACGCTTGCCAGAATAGTACGACACGTAGTCGGCGTCGTAGACCGGCGCTTCGTGCTTCCTGAGCCTCCATATCGGGAGGGTCCGCAACCGTAGTGAACTGTCAATCACCCGGCGTAAGGGTGTTCTGTCTTCTTGAACCACCCTGACAAGGTCTTCATTGTTCAAATACGTTTGCTCCTCCCGTGCAATTGCGACGTTGCTGTGATTGTAGTGCCAGTGTTTAAGGCTTTTGATATCACGCCCCGGAGCTTTAGTGAGTTTCTTCATCCTGCTGTGTTGAAGAAGGAATTCGTCTAGGAAGACTTGGGTGTCAGCTTAAAAAGTACATGTACAAGACCCATTCAACTTGAAAAGGACAAGGTTTGTTCAGTCTCACTATATCTGCGTAGTTTCCTGGCGGCCAGCTCTAATATCTCAGCGCGCTCTGCAATATCATCTCTTAAAGTGCCGTTGTTGAAATCTGTTGACTCGGGCTTGCTGTGAATTGTGTCAAGCCTCTCCAACTCCTCTTCAAGAACATTTATCTCATCCTGAAGTCGTAACGCCACACGTGCGCTTAATGAATCGAAGCGCCGCAATATCAGGAAGTCATCATCAGATGAGATGAACTCGGCGTATCCTTTGTAACCGATATACTTCCAGGGCTTTAGCTGAATGTCTGCCTCTGTCGGCCCTGACCCCGATGTCCCTGATGCGGTCCCCATCATCATGGATACTAGGCGTCGATGACCCCGATTCCCTAGCTACTAACTGATCATGCAGACATTGATTCTACCTTAGGCATCGTAAAGCGCAAGTAGGCTGTGGGCCTCGTGGCATCTTGCTCCTGAGCTGTGATGCTAAGGTAAAGGTTCAGGTCGGGTGGGTTCAGGTCAGCGACTGGACTCAAAAGCTTCACTGCTCTGTCCATGGTCCATGTGGTTGCGATCCTCAACTCGTCACTCACATAATGCAAGCTGAAACCAGGTGATGATAAGAGGTCGGACGGGATGGGTTGAAGGATCGGCGAGCGGTTAGAGAAGTTCAAGTTTTTGCCGCTGAAAGCGGGAGGGGGCGGTGCTCGCCTGGGTGCATGGACGGGGAATTTGAGTCGAACCGGAGGGTGGGAATGCGGCTGGTTGGTGCTTGATACCTGGGGTGGGTGGCAAGGCGGCCGTGGCACCTCCATGCGTGCGGCATCCAACCTGTGAGTGTGGTCCCCTCCCTGTATGCGATTGACGAACACGGCGCCAGAGTGTGCTGCTACATGTGAGTGCTAAAGTATAGGGCCAACATCACAGCATACCCGATGCTGCCTTGAGCTCCTTCACCAATACTACTATGGAACTGTGAGACGGGCGTGAATGAAAGCAACCTGAAGAGAAGATCGACTCACGAATGCCGATGGTTCGCAAGCAAGAGCCAGTTGAAAAGACGAAGGCTTCCAGGATGTGTCTCATGCAGCCGGTGCCCGATTTGTATAGGCCTACTACTACCCTCCGGTAAGCTAGGCATCATGGCATACCTGATTCAATTTGGTTGGTTGGCAGGCTTACCGCGTCGATACCACAGCGTCATGCAGCTGCCCGCGAGGCAGACGGCGAGGCCTTTAACCAGGCGGGGGGCCTCCTGCAGGTTGCTATCCCTCCCGTCCCTCTTTCGAAGACTCCTCCAGTCTTGCTCGGGCCTTTCAGTATCGAAGTCCATCGAGAAGTAAAGAGCCCCCGATTATTTGAGCCTGCCCACACGGCTTGTCAGGTCGCTCGACACATTTTCTCCAGTTCGCATGCAATTCGTAGGCTCTGAGCAAGCACCTCGACTTGTTTAACCACCATGTCTCCTGATAACGAAACCGAATACACGACCAAACCTGTTGTTGAGACTTTGAAGACAGAGGTTAAAGTCCGAAAGCGCAATCATCAGACCGCCGAAGCCAGTAAGAGTGAGACTCGGGGGGAGTCGACTGCTGCTGGTGCCGTCGGCTATGATGAGCCACCGAAAAAGAATGAGGATAACCTCTTTTTACCAGAATCAGAGTTCCGAAACGTCCCTGGTATGTACATGCATCAGCACTGCCAACTGCCTTACCGCCGCCCAATGGAAACATCAGACCTTGCAGTGTTCAGTTGGTACATTCATGTCATCTGACGAACGGGTGGATAGGGCATGTTAGGCGCAGAACCGACCAAATGCCAAGTGCAGAGCCTCCTCCGGCCAATCCCCAGACCGCAAGCCACAGCCAGAGTACCTATCAAAGACTTTCGAAGAGAGCAAGGCGTCATCGACAAACCCTTGGAGATGGAAGCGGGAGCGATTCCGACAGTGACAACAACGGAAGGCGCACTCGTGGTGACGGTTCTGGAACCGTAGCTAGGGTGCAACGACCCTTAAATCGGATCCTCCGACACCTCTGGAGCTCAGTCGACGATTCGGAGCGCTTGATGAGCAAAACCGGATCCGGGAGAAGCGACTGTTGAGGGAGGTCGAAAAAGAATGGCCCGACATTCAACGCCGCCGAGACGCATGCCGATCGGACCAGGCGCAAATAAGCAGACTCCGGTCGCCTCATACTGCATTTTCCAACCCCTGGTACCTTGACCTGCAAAGCTTCGTCGCCCGCTTAGACCAGCAGCGCTGTGACTACCTTGACGCGCTCTTCTCCCTTGATGCGCGGGACAGCATTGAACCAGTGACAGGACGTATGAAGACGTTCTCGTCCGATTCCGGCTGCCTGCGACAGGTATGGGAGCGTGTCGAGATCGGGTTTCTTTGGAGCTGTAGGCGCTTCGACCAGGATTTTCTGGCTACACCTCCACCGACTTTGCAGGAACATGTCGTACAGGTTATCCGACGGATGTCGAATTTTATGTGGAACTCGTACGGGAACCGGAATGACTTTCCTTTCGATTACAGCAGCGGGTCAGTCACGCTGCGTGGTATTGAACGCCCAACCAAGGGCACTGACAGGGTGTGGGAAACGAATGTTTTGGTCGACAGTTATATCAACAAAGTTGTTCATGCACTATTCAGTGCGCGCGATTCAAGCTTCGATACCCAGGAAGAAGTACTCGAACTGCTTCATAAGTGTATTCTCAACTCGCGTTCCGGAAATGAGCTAACACCCGAGTACTTGGAGTGGGTGTCCTCAGGCGTTGATCCTGCCGAGATTGAACGTTGCTGCCTTCGAGCAAGCGCGCTGGAGAAAAGCCGGAAATCTTCGAACCTGAATATCAGGCATGAGATAATTGAGATCTGGGGAGACATTGGACAGCCAGTACTTAGGTATGTGGCCACGTTCAAAGGCACTGTCGCCACGTCCGTCAGAGAGATTTCCGATGAGGAGCTGTACAGAATGGGGTGGTTCTGCAATGATGCAAATCGGCGCTCTCCGGCGCGAGACAACTCAAGCGAGATCGGTGACAGCCCCGATGACCAAGAGCTCGAACCTGAGAATGCCTTGGAATACTGGCGCTTCAAGCGTTGTGGCGACTTAATCCTCAAAGTGAACATGAACGAAGCGATACAAGGCCTGTATGCGGGAAACGGGAAATTTATTGCGGGAAACGGGGAAATTATTGAGTTAGAAACGGTTACTTCCTGAGCAGAAAGAAGACTTTTGCTGGATCAAAGCGGCACATGTGGTCCTGAGTATCATAGTAAAAACGGACATGTTGGAAATACAAATACGCCCCCTGTAAGCTTAGGCGGTTATTAGGCCCAGTCAGGGGTTCCATCCTCCTACAGAGATTTTCCACCTTACAACCAATTGACAACCACCACGCATTCCATCACCACTTTAGTGTACGCGTATACAGTGCCCAACTGTGCTCTGGGAATTTAAGTCCCCTATTTATTGATGAATTCCTGGCTTTCACCTGTTTTGCAGTGTCAGTTTTTACGTGTCCAGGGTCCACGGGTGTGCGGACATTGAACTTGGTAGCACCTGGGTGGGCGCGAGGGTTGCTGCCCGTGGATGTTATGTACGGTAGTGGTTAGTGTACTCGCCGTGGCGTTTGACACGCGCGGTTCAAAATTGCAATGCACAGTACGGTACCTAAATTTGCCAGCCATGACGAGGGCCACCTTGTGTTGCGCTCGGCGCTCCCAATACCGTCTCGTCAAAGTAAAGCACTCAGGGGTGGGAATCGCTGGAATCGTGCACATGGCCATCGTAGGCATGGTATATCTTTGCGGCTCCGTCTGGATCAAAGGTGGAAATGCAGGCGGACACTTGGAAGGTAGTGTAATCGATGAATAAGACTAAGGTAAGACCTAACGAGCCATTGCTGGCAACCATCTTGCCGAGCGAGAATGAATCCCGAACCAAGCGCCCCATGACATGCCTGACGTGCCACCATGACTTCCTTCTGCTGATTCCCCGAAAGAGTCCCATGGTTACCCCGCCCAAACTCCTCTAACCCGGTCCAGGTTTGCTAATGGGTATCTGCACCATGCACTTGTCCCATAACCTGCAATGTCGTATCATCATACCACTCGTGAATCCCATGAATCTATGCCGCCCGAGTGAACCGAAACCACCGCTCCCCTGAGCCATCACCTTCCGTCAACATACCTCCAACGTGTTGACCGGCCGTGTGGTCCTTCTCCTCTTAGCCGCAGGACTGAGCACCGGCCGATCATCCGGGCTACTAGGCGGCTCCTCCTCGAAGCTGCTGTTCAGCACTTCGGCAAGGGGGTCCCTCTCAACGCGTCGGCGCTTGAGGGTAAAGGACTGGTAGGGCGGCGTGTGCGGGGGTTCCACGAGTGGATCCCAAAGGGCGATGTGCTCGGGATCCCCGTACATAGGGTCGCCGGCAATCTCGCGCCCAAGGGCTTTGGCAAGACGTTCTTTGAGACCGAGAAGGGGCCAAAAGCCGACCGAAGTATATGAGATGCTCATCCCCGTGGCCAGGGTTTCACCGCCTTGAGGAGTTGGCGCTTTGTGCGGATACATGAAGCGGTCCAGAAATGTCTTCGTCACAACAGCCGTGTAGACGATAAAGTTTGGCGAGCTCTCATTGCCTTCATCATGGGTGATGACCTGTACCTTGATGTCTCGAAAAGAAGGCGGTGGCATGCGAACTTTCTTGCGACCACCGTCAGACTGCGACGAGGATTTTGACGAGGGCTCGCGGTAGAAGTGCGCCTGGGCCATGGCGAGCAGGATCGCGACAATGTACGGGTCGTGATCGGGATTTGCCGGGATCAGCATTTTGGAACGCAGCCGTTGGAGCCTGGCTACAGGCTCGTTTGGTGTATTGTTGGGGCCGCGAACAACCCCGTAGAGATTCCTGCGAATAGCAGCGAGCTGCGCCCTGCCAATGTATGCTAGCATCGGCTTGTTCGGCGCATATTCACAACCCGCTTCCCGGGCACTAGGCGGTACTTGGCTGAAAGAGGTGGACGGCAACGTCGGGCACGAGTCGAACGAGGCGTCGGCGCCGGAAGGGCTCTTCCAGAGACACGGAATGCGGACCACCTTTTTGAAGATGCGCTGGCCAAAATAGAGATTAAGTTCGGCACCGGTCTTGGGACGAGACAGGGTGTTGGGAAACAGCGTCGACATGACGCGCTTTATTGCGCGGGTCTTGCAGAAGGCTCTGGCTGGTGATGCCTCCTTCCGAACGAGGTTGCGCAGCTCGGATGTCAGTGTTTGCGCCATCCTAGATGGCTCAAGAGAGATTCCACGGTCGAGGTCCGGAACCGGCGTGGCAATGGCGGGGCGTTCGATGAAGCTCGCGCCAAGAAGTTGAGAATGGAGGTCGGTCCAGCAGATCGGGACGACGTAAAGCATCGTGCCAGCGTAATCGTGCATTATGTCGTACAGCGACCCAGGTTCGGGCCGTGTAATGGGCCTTATGGTGAATCGCCGGCATTCCACTTCGCTGTTGCGCCTAGCAGGCTGCCCGCGCTCGGAGGAGTCGGGCTGGGCTTGTGAAGACGACATGTGGACGATGGCGCGCAGCTGACCGAGAAAGCTGCTGCTGTTGAACAGGGACCTGGAGTTAAAGGTGAGGTTAGCGAAAAGGGTTCGTGCGGGGAGATTCGCGATCGTTTCATCCGAGGTGCTAAAAAGCGCGACTTACTCAATTGTGAGCATCGATGACTTGGTGGGCGGTGAGCTTATCAGGGTCGCGGATTGACACCCGCTGCCGCGATTTGGCGGGGCAACACGTAAATCGCGGAGGCCAGCAACGACAAACAGGTATTGTATGGACCTGATAGTGATCGCGAAAACTGGCGGAATCAATCGAATGCCCTGAATGGGATTTCAGAGCATGGAAATGATGCCAAAACGCGAGAAAAGGCGATTACGCCAAGTGGCTATCGCGAGGAAGAATGGCTTGCGGCAGGGTTGGGGAAATGGGCAGGAAAGTGTGGGCTTAAAACGCGATGAGGGAGGGGGCTTGGTCGGAACTTCCCTCCAGTCCTTTCAGTGGGAAGGCCGCTCTTGGCCTCGGCGACGTGGCGACGGAAATTGCACCAACAAAAACTGGCATTGGCCGGTTGCAAAATGCATCGACGCGCTAGCACACGAGTTCCCGTGACACCCACCCAACCTACTTCTTAAGTTCTTACACTCCGCTTCCGGTTCCATCTTAGTGTAGGCATCAGCTTGTTTTAAACTCAACCAGCCACAATGAGGATATTTTGACCCGGCTCCTAGCATCGCACACTGTTTCCAAGTTCTTTCATAGCCTTTCATACCTCAAGCTGAACGTAAGTTGCATATCTATCCGTAGATAATAGAGCCCACCACGGAATGAGGCTTTGGGCTACGGAATGTACTTGTACAAGTACATACAGTACCCCGCCGCTCCGATAATAAAGGGTGGGAAAATCGCGTTACTATATATGTAGGATAACCGCTCATGAGACCGTCTGCTTTAGCCGCCGTACGCCGGCCAATCAAGCGTAAGCCGTGTGTAGCCATCATCGCTGGCAAATGCAAAGAAGGTTGTGTGGCTGCCTGCGCAAGCCCGAGCATGACACAGAAAATATTTTGCCTCAGGCACAAACTGTGGAGTGTGGCAAGCGCTCAGCCACATCAAGCTGGGAACGACGTCAGGGTTGACTTGCGCTGTGCCTCAGTGCCTGGACCAGTACGACCCCGCAAGGCTGCGATTGAGCTCTCCTGTATGAGACACATCCCACCCTGATCCCCACGCCGAGCTCCAAGAGCTCGTACACGAAGCGGTTGTCACCAACGATGCCGGTGAGTAGCCTAGATCTAAACCAGAATTATGGGGGAATTCAGTCACATGATGAAACCATGGCTCAATTGCTGACCCGCATCCGCAGGCCTACAACTCCATCTTCAACTCAGACCCGAACCAGCCGCGGCTGGTGGGCAACTTCCCCCTCTTCCCGCTGCGCACCAAGATCCGCGGGCCCGTGTACCCGTTGCCGTTCCCCGATCCGCCGCTTCCCGCAAACGAGTCGCCGGACCCGGACTCAGAGAGCTACGACATCCTGGACGAAGTACTGGCACTGTTCCGAGCCAACACCTTCTTCCGCAACTTTGAGATCCAGGGCCCTGCCGATCGCTTGCTCGTCTACGGTATCTGGTTCGTCTCGGACTGCTTGTCCAAGATTAAGCCGAACGCTACCTTGCGCGAGGCGACCAAGGATGTCATGAATCTGGCGCTAGACCTGAACTTTGCCATCCCTGGCGATCCGGCATGGCCTTTGAATCAGGTACAGGCTTGCGCTGTCCCTCTATTGTGAGCATTGTTTGAGGTTTTCCAAACGGACTCTGACATGGTCATCCGACTGCTACAGATGTACGAACCGCCCCGCGACAGGCAAGACGCAGAGATCCTCCGGCAATACATGTCGCAGGTCAGGCAAGAGCTGGCTACAAGGTTATTGGCGAGGGTATACGACGAGGGTGACAGCAAACCTAGCAAGTGGTGGTTGAGCTTTACGAAGCGGAAGTTCATGGGCAAAGGGTTATGATCGTTCACTTCGGTGAACCGTCTGAAAAGAGGGCGCTGCCTGATAAGATGCGCGAAACAGGGCCATGAAGCGCAGGGCGGTAAAGGCATTTACTATTGTCCACAAACCCAGCATGGACGTAATTGTACAGTGGTATCCTGCGATATGCCCCATGCCTATTAAACCAAGATCATTCAACGCCCACCTCAGCCCTCATGCTACTGTTTTCAGTCCCTTCCGAGCCGACCTTCCGCCGTTTGAACTTGCCCTTAGCAGCGACCTTACCCTCAGCCGGCTTGGCTCTCCACCCAGTAAACACAAACCCATCCGGGCCGCCCCGTTCCGTCATGAGGGGATGTGTTCTACCGGGCAAGACCTGCCAATGGCGGGCGCGGCTGGTCTGGATCGACGTCCCCTGAACAAGGGTGGGGTTGAGCGGGAAGCGCTCATTCCCCGGCCAGCGCTCCAGCTCCTCAACAGAGAGGTCTGCGATCTCGGGGACGTCCCCGCTCAACCAGGCCGTGCGCCGGGCCACGCTGAAGCAGTCCGCGAGCGCCGCCAGCGGTTCCACCGTTGGCGAGTAGATGGCTATCGGCGCGCCGCCCGCCAGTAACGGGAGGGTGTGCTTCAGGATGCTGATAGGGTCCATGGTGCTCGCGCAGACGAGGCCCGAGAAGTTTCCCGCCCTCGTCGTGTCGACAATGTGTCTGATTCGGGCGAACCGCCGGCGCTTGCGGTGGAAATTCCCCCTCCGGCTGGGTTTCCAGGATGCAAGCGTCTCGGCTGAGGCTGTAGGTGGCGGTGTTGAGTAAGAACTGTCCAGCTCCGGCTTGAGGAGCTGCAGCCATGTGAGTGTCATGAGGTGGTTGAGTAGCGGGTGTGGTGGATGGTTGGGGGAGGTGATGTCAAAACCCCAGTAATTGAGCAGCGATAGATTTGCCTGGCTCGCTCCATGTAGTACCGTGATTGTGTTGGTTTGGGAATAGGGGATTGCAAAGTCGGAGGGACGAGGTTTTTGCTTCGGTTTCCAGTCGGTCTTGGATGCTGAGGGTACAGCGTCTGCCTCTACCATCTCCGTATCGCCATTGTCTTTGGAAACCTCATTGGCTACTTCCCCACTGTCTTTAGGACGGTGAGGGTGTTGTTGGGCTTGGTCCACGCTCTCTCCGTTCTGACCTTCAGTCTTGCCGCTTGCCGCGTCCTCACTCTCCTCCGGGTAGAGCACGCCCATTCTTTCGGCCATCGCTGCGACTAGTAGACCACACGTATCGTCCACCACGAGCCACCTTCCACGTAATGGTTCTTGCGGTACTGGCAGAAGAGCCTCTTCCCCCTGATCCATGGCCGCATTGGGGTCCCTAAGCAGAACATCCTCACCCGCAAAGTGCACATTCCCCCAGCAGCCGACGAGCCCAATCATCTCAGCCCGCATATCCAGTATCTTGTTGGCATCCCTCTCTTCTAACTGCCATTGCGCAAAGCTCGCGACGTCGATGGGCAGGACCTGGAATCTCCGGATGTACTTCTTGGTTTTGAGCAACTTGTATTTGGCCAGACTGAAGCTGGTCTTCTGGTCTAGGGCGGTGTGGGACAGGAGGAGCTTCGCAATGACGTCCTTGCCCGCGTTGCTACCATCGCGCTTCAGCTCCTCGATCTCGTCCTGAGTCAAAGTCTGGCGCGCGCTGTCGTCGATGACCTCTCGGTTTGACCGCGCAACAACGTTCCCCTTGTCATCTACTAGACTGAACTCTTCCCCGTCGGCTATGGAGATTATGGAATCGCTGGCACCGACTGCTGGCGTTGAGCAGCTTGGCGATGCCTCGTCGGCGAAAACCTCGGCGTAGAGCTCTGATGTCGGTACTACGCGCAGGCGGGAGAAATTCTCGTTCGGCAGCTTGTCTTGTAGTTCGAATGTAAGATGGTATGGTCGCCCAATGATCAGGTTTGCGGGGAACGAGCCGTATTTCCCTAGCGATATAGTTCTGGATGATTATGAGCACGCGACACCGATGTCTATCATGCACCCACATGGAGGAGAAACGTACGTGTTCGGGGTTATCTGAATCACCTTGGTGATACCAGACGGGAGTTTGAGAGCCACCCAAGCATTCGGCCGGATGGTGGAATGCATCTTCAACTTTAGTACTAATTTAATGCAGTTTGGTTCCCGCCTTGTCGCCCTCGAACTTCGCTCGCCGTATGCAGAAAAAAATTTCGGTGATGCAAAGCGCCGGTACTTCCTGCATGTTGCGGGGCTGTCGAGGCTCGCCAGGCCAGCGGGGTTGATTGCTAGAACCTTGAGGGTCCAAGGCCCGGGCAACTGATAAGGCCCCCTGAGGCCCCTTATCAACCAAAATAATGGACTTCACAATGGAGTACCGGATGCTTCACATGAGACCTCTTCTTTTGCACATCCAGAGCTATGTCACGGCAGAAGCAGCACCATGAATTTTTTCACCTCATGTGCACTTTTACATGTTCATGACTTGGTTCACCCAACGGTGTGATCGTAGCCGACTTTACCTAAGCAGACTCACTCTGGTTTTGCTGGTTTCACTTCTCACTTGAAAAGTTGAAATAGAAAGCAAACATCTGGAATAAACGGAAGGTACCTATATTCCCTCCTTTTGCCATCTACAGTCTTATATTGAACCGATCATCATAGATTACAAGGCCATAAGATGACCGTACAGTTGCCGCCAGGACTTCAAACTAGGACCAGACTTGACATGACCACGCCCAGCAGAACTGCCACTCCCCAAGCGCCGTTCTTGAAGCTGGTTCCATCGCTGCTTGAATCCCCGGTTGCTACTTGTTTCGAACTCGGCGTGTTAACGCAAGACAGATGTCCAGCGCTGTCATGGACCTCACCGGTGTCGGTAAAGTGCGACCATGTCAACAGCACGGGCCAGACCGGCTTCATCGTGGATGCGAGGGACGTCTTATTGCCTTTGAAGATGGGCTTGGATCCCCACGCAAAGAACGGAGAACGCCGGTCTTTGTACTCTGGCCCTCCGACAGGTGAGATTTCTGTGGAGTTTCACACGCAGTCAGCAGGTTGAAGAAGGAAGAAGATGGACGAGGCAGGAAATCTTGACAGAACTCACTATAAGCAGTGCCATCCTCCCCGGAAAAGTACGAGGCACATTCGTCGGGGATTTTCAGATCCGCACATCCACTGCCCTTGGCCTTGGCTCCTTTCGCAACACCATCTGCCTGCAGCTTTCGGATGCAGTCGTCCGGCAGCAGCGACGAGCAACTGCCGTCCGACTTAGCCTGGACGTCCTTGTTCACAGCACTGCCGCCCAACCCATCCGCGAAGACTACGGCGCAGACACGCCAGCCATCCTCATCGCAGGTGGTTATGTCAGCCGGCGGGGTGATGGACAACGTCGCCGCGTCGATGCACTTGTTGTCCCTGTCGATGCCGGCATAGTCCGAGTCCGTCAGCGGCACGTTCTCGGCGACGCCGACGTTGATGGACCAGCCGTGGATGTGGCTCCCGGTCCCATCGGTGCCGCCCGGTGGAATGGACGTGTTGTAGCCGCGGATCGGGAAGCTGGCGTCGGCCACGGGGGAGGATATTGCCGAGGAAAAGACTTGAGGCGGCACGCCGTAGGGTGCCTGGCTCGAGAGGTCGCCGCCAACATATGATTGAGCGTACGACGGGACAAGGAGTGCAAGGTAGACGATGGTTTGCCGCAGGTACGAGGCCCTGTCTGGCTTGAGCCGTTGAACACCGGAGAGAAGCTTACCAGTGCCTTGCCCGGAGCGGGCCGCTTCGACTTTTGGCGCTTCCATATCTAACGGCACCTATCGAGGACAAAAGGAGTGGAACGATGCCGATTCTGGGGACGCCATCTATGAGCGGGTGCCGCACCATGATAAGTAGTCACTTGCGGACTTGATCCGGCTAAGATTAGAGTTCGGGTTCTGCAACAGTCTAAAGCGGCTAGAGAAGCAGGGGCATACGGATCCTGCACGGGTAGATGGTAGGCTGGTCCACGGTGACATAAGAATGGCACTGCCCTGAGAATAAGGTTCACCGGACAGAGAGAAGACTCGCGTCTGAGTTAGCCCAACCCGCCAACTCAGAAGCGCTACCCTGAGGTTGCTTTTGGTAGATTCTGCCCTGCATACAATGAATGCGGTAGGTCGTGCATATTCTCGGATGCTCCTTGTATTCTGCATTGCGTGTTCTGCTGATCTTGAAGTTAGGGGGCAAATAGCACGAGGGAGGGAAATATCGAGGATACTTATGTAGTGAACCCAGCGCCAAGCACGAGGCCTCAGCAGAGTCCATGAGACCCAGTATGATGGTGTGCCGGCTTTCCAACGCTAGGTGACACGTAAGCTCGAGACGATAGAGAACCTGGTTTACAAGGCAATTGTCCCTGGGCAGAACGCAATATGGGGTCTGAACTTCGAACTGCCAATCTGAAGAGTTAGCAAGAAACCGACACCACGTCAGCGGTGACTGCGGATTACCACGGGAATTAGCGTATATTGAACGTTTGGTATCTAGACTAGCTAGCTGACAGAAAATACCACGCAAAAATCTTGGAAAAACGGACAAAGACCTCATATGCATTAACTCCATCTGACGCCATCCCAGGGCTCCGCGGAGCCAGTGCGGAAACAGAAACCAGCAAGAACCGCGATTGACCAGTCATGTGCAGCATTGAGAATATGTACCGGTAGAAGTTTTAGTAGTATAGGCGCCATCTTGCCTTTGCCTGTCTCTCTAGTCGCCAAGGCTCATCCAACTCCAGGTGCCCACGGCGCTGCCCAGGATCAGGATGGTCAAAAACGCCGCGCCTGCACGGTCACCCGTCGTGATTGGCGACAGCGGTTCTGAGGGGCCTTGGCTGCGGCTGCCAGCGTTCGGATCGCCCTTGCTGATTCCGGTCAGGTTGGTCGCCAGCGGAGGGGTGTCCTGGATGAGCAGGCTCGACACGGCGGCGAGGACGTTCATGGCCTCGCCAGCCCCGCTGGTCTTGTCCACGGCCGGGTCCACGAAGACACCGCCTGACCAGTAGAAGCCGCAGCGGCGGCCGGTGGGACCACCGGTGCACTGCCGCACGGCGGCCTCGGTCGAGGTTCTCAGTACGGGAAGGATCTTCTCGGTGGTATGCGGGGCGATCTTGGTGACGGTGGACATCCAGCGGTGGACGTAGCCCTTGAAACTCAGCATATCGGCCGTGCAGGCGCCCTGGCGGCCCTCGCACGGTACTTCATAGGCGACGCCCTCGGGAAAGAAGTCGCGCAAGATACCGGTCAGCAAGTTGTCTACGCGGTCCTTCCACACCTCGCTGCCATTTGTGTAGTTGTACATGAAAGCGGAGCCGTGGAGTAGAAGAGCGGCGTTGTAGCTGAACTGCGCCTTGTTGATGTCGGTGCAGTTCTTCTCGACATGCCCACCATCGTACACGCGCCAGTCGCTGTGGTCGATGTAGCCGACATTCCATAGCCAGTCGAATGTCTTCTCGGCCCAATCGGCGTACGTCTGGTTGAACGTGTAGCGCGCCAGCCGGGCGCCGAGATCGAAGAAGCAAGCATTGGCAATGGTGTTCTTGTAGTTGTAACCTGCGTTGGTAGGAGGCACCTGCCAGCGTAAGCCGCCGTTGCAGGTTTTGTCATGCCGGTCAGGAGCTGCCTGTGTGTGGAAGACGGCCTGGGCGAGGGCAAGCCATTGAGGCTGGTCTGGCTCGGGGTTAGGAAACTTGTTTTCGGCCGCCAGCATGGCCGACATCCCCCAAAACCCTTGATCGTCGTTTCCCAGAGATGCCGTGTGGTTGGGCGGCATGTAGTCTTCGTTGGGGCCGACCTGGTGGAGCATGCCCTCCATGATGACATGGTTGTAGCTCGTGTCGCCCGTCAGAAACCAGTAGTCGATATATGTGCCCATCATTGCCCCGCCTTCCCACCAGTAGTAATCACCCTTGTGTTCTGTGGGCGGCCCTGGTAAAATTCCTGGGATTTCGCCAGTCTTGTTTCCTTTGTAGTGAAGCATCATATCGTAGGCAAGCGTCCGCGCAGATTCGAGAATCTCCTCTGTAGCAGTCTGTCAGTCCTACGCCCTCTTCACGCTCCAGCTGCTCCCGTGGGACAAAGGTATAATACGTTTTGTGCCTATCTTGTAATATTGCGCCCATGTCGTCGGCAGCAAGCAGCTCGTTGCGAGGAGCGAAGTCAGCCATCGTACCGGCCTTCTTGATGGCGATAATGCAGCCATGTTTTCTCAACTCTCAACGCTCGCCGTCTTGTTCGGTTGGGGGGGAAATTATGCTTGACAGCACGCGGGCGTTTAGTTGCAGGGGATTTAAGGGGCTGGCCTCAATGTCCTGGTAACCGAAAGTGCTCAGATGAAGGAAGATGTTGATGCAACGAAGTGAAGACAACGAATGTCGGGCTCAAGCGAGTGTGGTGACCGCGAAAGACGATCAACAGAGATAACGAATCGACAGCAGCGGCACCCCAGAATCCAGATAACGACGTTGAGGAGAGAAAGAGAAGCCATGGTTTTCAGGAGGTGGGTGGGCATGACGTGAACAGCGATTCTGTGACAAGCGCTTGGCGTTCTGGGCGTGCTGGGCATCGGCGGACATCGCGACCGGCAGCCAGTGACGAGCGGCCTGTGTGGTGGCTGAACACTGAGCCATTCTCTTGGCAGCCGAAAAAGCAAATTTGATCCGCGCCGATGGGCTTTGTTAGCGGTGATTGCGGTCTGGGCAAAACATTGGCAACACTCCGAGTCGCCACTGTGGAGTTTTGGGCGAGATGCCGGTGTCAAGTGTGTGCCGGAAACGCGAGGCAAGACAAAAAAGAGATGGAATTCAGGTTTTTATCAGTTCCATCAAGACCTCTTCGTACCTCAGCTGACCTATGTAAGATCGCTCTGGATACGGATACCTAACTCTAACATTACCAAGTGCGGGCGGCTGAAAGGAAGGCGCGAGTTCCAACTGCGGTCCCCGACTTGCTCTGTGCGCAATTCAGGAATGCACAATTGCGGTATGTAGCATACCGAATTACCAACTAACACGAGATTCTTCCAACCAAAGTCGTTCCCAAGAATCAGCGGATACGAGCTCCACCTGGCCTCATGGGAGAGATTGCATAGGATCCGAAGCAGATTTTCTGGCAACCAATTGAAATCTAGGGCAATACAATCAACGGACAGTCAGGCACGTCGATGTCTTCATAGTACCTACTAGAGTCTCGCCGATATCATCATTGAACCCCGGCTGAGATGGTCATTAAAACTCATCCCGGAGGTAGTGTGATTGATGCGCACAAGGTATGATATCGTGACAGGATCAAGTGAGAAACCCAAACAAACGATTACATCCCTTCAGATTCTCAATCAACTCTCAATTGTTTGCCGTCTTGTCGTTATAATAGTGTATCTGACCAAGCGTACAGTAACGTTAGTCCTTGCTATTCAGGTGTTTGAGTCTTAACGGCCGACTCAAGAAAACGACAAGAGAAATGAGATGACTCACCGTCTGATCGGCGCATCCCGAGGGCGTCTGGTACGCGTAGGCGCCCGTGTTGATGAACAGGGCCTGCTTGGCGCAAACCAGCCAGGCGGCCACGTTTTGCCGCCTGATGCTGGCCACGGACCACGTCAGGGTGTCGCCCTGCCACGCGAAGGTGCCGAACGGGTTCTTGGTCGTGTTGAACCACGTCGCCAGCGTCCGCGGCGGGTTGGCCGTGTCGGCCGGCTCCTGCACCCACATGTACAGCGGCGGGTTCGACACCTTGTTGACCAGTTGCCCGTCGACAATGTTGAACTGGCCCGCCGTCATGTGCGACTCAAGCACCGCCGTCCCGGGCACGTTCGCCGGGATCGTCTGCAGGTACTTGTGATAGTTGGGCGCGGCCACCGCCCGGATCCAGTACGCTCCTGCCTGGAGTGTTGTTGGCGACGGAGTTGACACGGGACCGTCCGCGGCAATCACGGGAGAGGCTAGCGCCGTGCCGGCGAAGAGTGCCGCAACTAGGGATGCCTTCATTGTAAGTCCTCAGAAATTGTTTTGTTGGGCCTCTTGGTCTCGGGGAGTAAGTTACCGCCGTCCGCAGTTGAGCATATTGGCTGCGAGAGAGCTCTCAGACTGGATATATGGGATTTACGGCAGCCCCGTTATGGACGCAAGTTGGGAGCCGGATGTGATAACCCCGGCTCGGAAAAGCCATCATATATTAACCGCAATACCCATCCATCAGTTCTGGTGTTATATCTCGCAGGCAACGCGGAATCGAAGATCCGTTCTCCAAGGAGTGCTACCTCCACTCATCACAATTCTCGTCCTGCGATTCGTTCTCTGTTTTCGGGGCAGACGGTTGCGTGGCCGAGTAGGCATTGGTCGCCGGATAAATAGCCGTCTATAGCATTCATGTGGATAGGGGGCCATGCAATCCGGCTTGCCCCTGAGCTTTAGTCTTTAACATGTACGGCTAAGGCACTACTAGCACTACCTAACAGTAGTAGGCTACTCCCCGTGTCGTTCAGTCCTCCCTGAACTGAACTGAAGAAAATAGTTTCCTACTAGATGTCGTGCTCTAGTCAAAGATACCACATACTTAGTTGTAGATACTTAGAAGACTTGAGTGGTACACCCCGACATTGTAAGCCCACCTATGCATCTGACCTAATGTCTGATGAGCCAACCGTCTCAGATAGAAAAGAACGGATTTTGATATAATAACGATCTGCTAGCTTCCTTTCTGCCAAGTGCCAACTAAGTATCATCGATACAAGACCACTCTAGCACTGGTTCAGACACTGAGGAAGAGCTGACAGTGTTCAACTTGAGACTTGAAGTTCAGAACAAACAGTATGACATACCGTTTAAGCAGCACAACTCTTTGTTTAGAAGCTGACCAGTTCCGGCGTCCGAGTGGGGGTTTTGTTCAGTTGTGACTGGCCGGGAACTCTCCAGTCAGACACCCGTATACGCTGTCTAAACTCTTTGTTTCGCCATCACCTTGCCTCCAAACCCCGCTGTCTCAGCCACAAAGCGTTAAGCTTTGTCATAAGTGGACGTCTTTTGGGACACCGAGCCTGGGCTGCTCATCGTCAGGATGTTCAACATAATACGGCCGGCTTTCAAACCAACTGACAAGTACAGTACTACTATTCCGTGTCTGGGACCATGATGATGAAGCTGGTTGCCACATCAAGCTCTATCTCTGTATTGCTCGGCTCTCTGGGCGCCTATGCAGGAGCGTCTTCCAGTTTTCCACAGCCAAGGGAGACTCGGTTCGTCGCCCAAGCTCCTCAGGCTTCATTACGTCAGGCTCAGGAGCCTCTTCCAACAGCAGCACCGCATCTCGCCGATCCAATCCATGGTTTGGCCGGACGCCAAGCCAGGGTCACAAATTGCGGATATGTCGATGGGAACATCAGTCCGTATAATTTCATGTCTCCTGCTAGTTGACCAGTAACAAGTTGCTAACGCTATCTTAATATGAAGGCAATCCCATGAGCTGCGCCGATGGCTACATATGCAGCACCAGTGAACGCAATGTCGGATGCTGTCCTTCGGGAAGTGCATGTGATGTTGTCACGGCCTGTCTAGATTTTGAGGCCTACCTAAGGGGCTTGTGCGATAGAGCTGGGCGGTTGACTTACTGCTGGTGAGCATCGATGATGTCTGAGTCTGGCTTCATGCCCCCCTATTAACCGGCAGAAGAACCCCTTATGTTTCCTGTAATATTGAGATGTGCTTCATTTTAGAAGTGCCATAACAGCTAATAGTTCTCTACTCACAGCAGCGACATTAAGACAAAATTCTGCACCGTATTAACATACATCGACCTCCCGTACCAGTCTATCGTCGGTTGCGCCACCAGCCCTCTCGCAGCGCCCTTGTACGCGGATCCGATAGTTACTAGTAGTACCACAAGCACCTCCTCAACCACAACATCAACAACTACAACCCACCCTCCACCTCCTCCTGAGGCTCCTGGTTCCGGTGCCTCGATCGGAGTCATTGTAGGCGCAGTCGTCGGCGGGATCACCGCCCTTGCGCTGTTGGCCGGTTTACTATCATTCTGGTTGATGCGCAGACGCGAGAAGAAGAACAAGATAAAACCAAACCCCGGGACTGGGGCGGTTGTAATCGGAACCGGCAGCAGCACCAGACACACCCCCTTGAGCACCCCCCCGCTACCGGTTGCCCAGCAACATGATTCATACTATTCCGCAGGCGCGTTTAGCCCGCGAGGAAGCATCGCCAAACCTGAGCCCTACAGTACAAGCAGCATGTATGGCCCGGGTCCAAGCAGCGGCGAGGTTCCTCCAACCCCTGGGACCGCCGCTGCCGTGCCGCCTTACAACCGGTATAGTCCGTACGGGGAGCGGAGTCCGACCACTAGTAGCCCCGGCGGACCGAGTTCTGCCGGCCTGTCGTCGCATGCTGCTTCTCCGCCTGTGGAGATGTCGGCTGATCAAGTGCCTGGGCGAGTTGTGCATGAGATTGGGAAAGGGAAATGATTGCGGGTCAGTTGTAGTGTGGATGGTTGCTGTCAATAACTGGTATTATTGCATTGATGATTATGTGGCAGGCCTCGGGGTCGTTTCTTCAAGTTCCTCAATTTCAAGTCGAGGAGCAGTGTAATAGCCACTAGACCTTGACCGCACTGGTGCGACTAGTGGTTCTCAGACTGCAACAGTACGGAGCACAATCGCGACTGACGGGTGAGGTAACGGATCAGTTCAACAAGAGCGTGGCAGCTGAGCGGCCTTGGATTTCCGCCCCTGATAGTTCAGACCCGACGCTACCGCCATAAAACTTTATGCCTACTTAACCCCTTTCCTATATCCAAACTAAGCCTTATAGTCTACTCCGTAGTGACCACCATTCTGTGTCACATAATGTTCGAACTCGGGAAGCTGCAAAGCTGGCGGCATCACATACTGTGCTTCTGGCCCAACCGCCCTCGCCAGTTCCTTTTGGTACCGAGCAGGAAAGCCAAAATCTTTTGGAAACGCCTTCTCATCGGTCCCTACCAACAATATCCCATCCCGATCATGCCTGTTTTTCTCTCCATCCTGTGATGCAAAGTGGCTTTCTAGCAGGCTCTTCCATCGATCCACTCCTGCAAGCCCGACAGAGTCCACCCCTGAGCAGAACAAAAGGATAAAGCCGTCCCTGAATGCCTTCCCTGTCCCTTGGCACTTACTCAGGTACTCTTGCAGTCGCTTCAGTGACGGCTCCACAGGGAAGACGGTCCAAAACGGCGTCAAGTTGTACCGCATCGTCAACCACGGCTCTAGTAGCACGAAGTTCTCAACGAGGATTGAGTCTGTCGGACGACGCAGTTGCTCGTTCTGTCGTCGGAACGCATCAGCAACAAGCGGAGAGGCGTCCTCGGGATGGTCAAAGTCGAGATATTTGATCTGGAATCCATGGTTGTGAGCAAAGTCAACGAGATCATGGGTTAATCCTTCTGCGTAGCCCCATTCCGCTTCGGGGAATTCACCGCTGGGCCGAGGAGCATTCCAGTCGGTCCTGCGTTCCGTCCCCAGCACCGTTTCACTCATCTTGGTCGATAGAGACTTCTGCGAGTCTATGAATCCAGCCACATCAGCCGACCCCTGAAGGAACTCGTTTGATGTTATCCCACCAACCGCGCCACTCTGAAAGTAGTGGCGATCGGCGACCTTTGTAGACGGCCATTTGGATCGGCATCGAACCATGATAATGGTCCCGTTCTCTTCTAACGCGTCCAAGAGATACCTCTTATACGCCTCAGTCAGTTTGATCAACTTCAGCCTGAAGTATGCCATGCGGTGAATCATCAGCTGGTCCTGATTCGGGTCGGCCATGTGGTACAGTTCGATCTCCGGGTTCTTCTCCAGCAACCCCTGCGCCGCCGTCCGCCCCCACTCCATTTCGGCTGTCATGTCGACCTGACCATGTCGAATCGAGGCCTTCTTGGGTCGCTTGACGGGCATGAGGAGTGTCTGAGGCAGCCACGGAATACCCATAGCCGCATAGAGATTGGTCAAGGCTCCGTTCGAACTCCCAATGGCCACGGCCGGGTATTTCCGATGTGCTGGGAAGTGTGCGACAACCTGTTTAGTGACGCTCTCCGAGTCAAACGTTGACGGGTCACCAGCAGCTTCGGAGGCCCCAACCGCCGAGTATACCGTCTGACGCGGAGTGGACGGTAGCCAATTGACCAGGGGCATGGCTGTGGCCATGGACGTCGGGACGCCGAGCTGCGGGAAGTCGCGGAAATGCAAGTGCCGCCCGATTGCACGAAGCATGCAAGATGCGGAATCAAAGTCGGCGATTCCGTCCAGCTTGACGTATACGCGGTCCAAGTGGCTTGAGCGGTCCAAGGAGAGTAGCGGACGAACTGTGGTGTAGTACCGATGGAGCATCACCGCCTCAATCGACAGGAAAGTCCAGACGAGATGCCACCGGCTGATCACTCCCCCGCACAACTTCGCAACCAGGACTGCCGACATGCCAAACGCTAACTGCTGCCAGAGCAACTGAGACCTCTGCTTTGCTGCTGCTTCCCTCGTCTGGTTTATTTCTATCACTTGTTCCAGAATCTCGCTGCCCGCGCGCCTCATGTCGTCATCATCCTGAACCACTAGGTAGCGCAAGACGGCTCTGGACATTTTCTTCGCCGCCGAGTAGTTTGCTGTATGGGCAGCCTTCGTCAGGACATAATGCACCGCGTTCGGCATCTTGTCCGACAATTCCGCGACCCAGGTGCACGGGGCGATGGGGTCCAGTTCGCCGCTCAACAGCAACGTCGGCTTCTCGACAGTCTGCAGCACGTCCAGGATACGGTATCGGCCTGTCTCGCCGAACAAGGCGACGGCCCTGCGCCATCCAGCGCGCCAGTAGTCTTGAAGCATGATGGCACTCATGGAAAACGGTTCGTTCTTGCTATTCGCGACGAATGCAAGCACCGTCTTGAGTAGCGGTTGGCGGCTGGTGTCCATGGTCGGGCCCTGTAGCACCAGTCGACCAACCCTCTCGGGCCACAGACGGGTGAACTCTGCAAGGACCTGACAGCCCAGCGAGTTGGAGACAAGATGCGCCGTCCGTATGCCTGCCGCGTCCATCCAGTCGTGTAGCCCCCGCGCCAGTTGGCTGATGGAGACCGTCTCGCTCTTGGCTATTGCACCCGACGAACGTCCGAAGCCGGGCAAGTCGGGAATGAAGACGCGGAACCATGGTGCCAGGTGTCTTCCGAGATCATGCATGTAGCTGCTGGCTACCACCATTCCATGGACGAGCACCACCGGAAGTCGCCCATGGTATGCTTCAGCTTGCAGTATCTGCTCCCGTTCGAACGCGTCACTCAATGCGGACAAGGCATCCGATTGAGCAAAGGGCGGTATGGGAGTTGTCAAAACATGAAGGTCAGACCTATACCCCGGAACTTGATACCAGGTCGATTGCAGGTGAATATTTGGATCGAAATCGAGTTCCATTATCAATGGGTCAGACAAAATTGATGAGAAGTGGAAAAGTCGTTTGCTATAGTGGCCGGCATACTTGAGCAGCTTGTCGATTGCGGAAATGTTTTGTTCAGTGATCAGTCCGCAACTGCAGTGGCATGGAAGGTGATGTCACCGTGCATGTCTTCTTGAACTTGTATGAATGTTGGCAGCAATGACAGAGGCCCCTCCACCCTGCTAGGTACAAGTACATAGGTACTCCTACCCCTTGTCCGATCTATCAGATGATTATGCAAATACAGGAACTTCTCGTCATGTCCTTCGCCAAAAAGCCCCCTTTCTCCCCCAGCTCCGCCTTACGAGCGAGTCTGTGTTTTGCCAAGCGGCTGCTCTACATGTATAGGACAAAACACCTCCAA